CGATGAACCTACAGAAAACACCCTTTAATTATCAACTAATTGCACTGAAAACACCATCGTCATGCACATCACAGACAGGGATTCAGAAACCACAGGCCAGAATCCTCATACACTGATATTTACGATCTGGTACTGACACCGTTTCTTCTTCCAGTTCTCTTGTTTCACAGAGGGGGACAACTCAACCCACACTCTGCCAGGCAGCAGGGACACATTTGGGAGGTGCCAGGTACGTGTGCCCAGGGCGCAGTAACTTCCACCTCTGCGCAGATCCCGCTCACCTTCTGCTCCTTTGCTCTCTGCAGCTTTGGCGTGTACGCCCATCCCTCAGCCTGCTTCATCCGAGAGGATGCACGGCTTTTCTCCAGTCTTAAAGAGAGCAAAAAATCAAAAGTCTCTCTAAAATTAGAAGCGTAAGCAGCCATTGCTATGAAAACATGAGAAAGGAAGTATCTAAGGAGCTTCTCAGCTCCAGGTAACAAACATAAAGTACTGGTCTCCTGGCATTAGTGACAGTGGAAAAATAACACATTTAAAGTATATGCTGTTATCATCAGAGGAGGCGTCTAGATTTCTTCTTCCTAAGCACGGACAACTCAGATGAAAGGGGAATTCTTTACTTCAAATTTTCTACAACACGGGCAATGCAAATGATTGTTTACTGACACCTCCCAAGTCATTCCATTGATATGCAGCTTTTTGTCTGATAAATAATTAACATTTTCCTTCACAAGAGAGAAAATTAACCTGAAAATAAGGACCAGAGGCAGAGGAGACGACGTCCCTCTGGCAGCCTGGGCCCGGGCACACGTGATGGTCCTGTCGCACCATATTGGCGGGCGTTTGCTTGACTTACCGGAGCAGGAGACACTCTCCCTACGTGCCGAGCTCTTGCGCCACGGCAATCCCGGCTTTGCCCGCAGCACCGGGCATCAGCCTGAGAGACTTACACATTCGGGGAGGATGCACAACCTCACGCAAAGTCTGTCTGACTCCAGCTGCGCTCTGGTTTGCGGAGGTCAGGGATACCTTTAGGAGCAGAGGTTAAGCAGGCGTCTGTTTATGTTCACTATATATTCTGCATGCTACAACCGCGGGGCGTGTGGGACCCGTTCTGACTGTGGTACCCTTCCCATGGGGGCAGGGACCTGCCTCTGCTCCCAGCAGTTGCTACAAGTACAATGCAATAGTAATACATAGTCAGGTATCACTTATGGCAGCAACTTCCCCCAAAAGACAGCCTTTTTTATTTAATTGCTATTTATCTTCCTCGATGCTACCACGCATTCTGGCATTCTACTTGCAGCGAAACTTTGCCACTCGCCTTTGCATTGAAGCAGAAGCCCCCCCCGAAACCGGTGGGACTCAGGGAAGGGAGGCACAGCGGGGCACAGCCCCAGCCCCTCCTGCGCGCTGCCCGCCGGCACCGACAGACCCCGCTCCCTTGCGAGGGGCTTCCCCCGTCCCCGCCGCCCCGGGGGGGGGGGGGGGGGGGCGCGGGCGAACCGCCCCACACCGGAGGCTCCCCCGCCTCAGCCCGAGAGCCGCCGCTCCCCACGGGCTGCGGCTCCCGGGGCGGGGGGGGGGGGGGGGGGATCGGACCCACCGCCCCCCGTGCCCGGCCGGCCCCGCGGCCTGGCCCGGCCCTCGCCGCTCGCAGCCCCCCGCCCGGCGCCTCCGCAGCACACGCCGGGAAAGGCGCTTCCAGGCGGGGGCGGGGGAAGCGGGGGGGCGGGCCGGGCGGGCGGCGGGGGCCGCCGGGGCTGTGCCGGGGGGGTGCCCGGGGGGAGCCAGCCGCCCCGCCGCGCCCCGCCGCCGCTCGCCCCGCTCCTATTGACTTCCCATTGTGGAGCTTTGCAACAAAGGGTAGGATCCAAACCGTGCCCCGTTTCGTCCAATCAGCGCGCAGAGCGCCCGCCCGCCGCCGATTGGCCCCTTCTCGCCTCACAGTACCCAATCGGGCGCCTACTTTAACAACCAATCAGCGGCCGGGCATGCGCCCAATCAGCGCCGAGGAACCGGAGCACGGCCTTTGTGTGTCGTGACGCCACGGCGCCGGCGGCGGTCCCGACCAATGGTACGGCGCGCTGCTTCCAGGCATTGTGAGGTCACCGCGCCGTGTGCCGCCCCCGCTATAAAAAGCGAGTCCCCGCGGCGGGGCGGGCGCAGTGAGGGGGTGGTTGGCTGCGGAGCGGCTGGGCGGCAGCAGCAGCAGCGCAGGCTTCGGTGCGCAGCGCTACCGGCACCGCGGCTTCCTTCTTCTCTGAGCGGTGAGTAGCGGCGGGCGCGTTCCGTGGCGGGGCTGTGCGGCCGTTAGTGACCTTGCTTCCTCCCGCTCCCTGGCGGGCAGGCTGGGCCTTGCCTACGTGCCCGGAGTCACGGCCGGTTCCCATCCCCCCCCACTCCCTGGGGCGGCCCAGGAGGAAGCGGGAGGCGGCATGACTCAGTCCGTTTACCCCCGGGGAGGGGAGCGGCCGGGCCACGACACGAAGCGGGGGCGGGGAGGGGGGGGGGAACCGTGACTCCTCCTCCCCCCTCCCGGGGGAGGCCGCTGGCCGCCTGCCCGCCTTAGTGGCGGAGGAGGAGGGGGGAACACACAGTTCGCCGACATCTGCCGTTTCTGCGACTTGAGGGGGATTGGACGGCGCGGAGGTGGAGAGGGGAATGGGGGTGGATAAAAAAAAATTTCCGGGCCTGGCGGGTCCTGCTGCCGCGGGGCTGGAGAGAGCTGGGCCCTGTGCGTGACGCCTGCCCTGTCTCCCTAGGTAAGTGAAGAAAAATGGCCCGTACAAAGCAGACTGCCCGCAAGTCCACTGGGGGGAAGGCTCCGCGCAAGCAGCTGGCCACCAAGGCGGCCCGGAAAAGCGCCCCCTCTACCGGCGGCGTCAAGAAGCCTCACCGCTACAGGTAAGGCTCGGCCCGGCCCGGCCCAGCGCTGCCGCGGCCCCCACCCCGGCTCACCCGCTCCCTCCCTCCCCCTCCACCCAGGCCGGGCACCGTCGCCCTCCGTGAGATCCGTCGCTACCAGAAGTCCACGGAGCTGCTGATCCGCAAGCTGCCTTTCCAGCGGCTGGTCAGGGAAATCGCTCAAGACTTCAAAACGGACTTGAGGTTCCAGAGTGCAGCCATCGGTGCGCTGCAGGTATTTAATGCTCGCGGCCTCGGCACTGGCGGTGCTGAGCACGCTTCACTGGGGGTTTCTAACGACGTTTCTTCTTGTGCTCTTGAAACAGGAGGCCAGCGAAGCGTATCTGGTGGGTCTCTTTGAAGATACAAACCTGTGCGCCATCCATGCCAAGAGAGTCACCATCATGCCCAAAGATATCCAGTTGGCTCGCAGGATACGGGGGGAGAGGGCTTAAGTGAAGGCTGTTTTTATGGTGTTTTGTAGTAAATTCTGTAAAATACTTTGGTTTTAATTTGTGACTTTTTTGTAAGAAATTGTTTATAATATGTTGCATTTGTACTTAAGTCATTCCATCTTTCACTCAGGATGAATGCTAAAAGTGACTGTTCACATAAACCTCAGTGATGTTGAGCCTTGTTGCTCAGGAGTGACAAGTTGCTAATATGCAGAAGGGATGGGTGATCTTTCTTGCTTCTCATGCATGTTTCTGTATGTTAATGACTTGTTGGGTAGCTAAACTTGTAAGGTACTAGAATTGATATAAATGTGTACAGGGTCCTTTTGCAATAAAACTGGTTATGACTTGATCCAAGTGTTTAACAATTGGGGCTGTTAGTCTGACCATACATCACTGTGATCAAATGTGGACTTTTTCAGAGGGTGAAACTACAAGTCTTAACCACAGTGTAACTTACAGTTTCCTAAAAACGTAAACCTGGCAGCTATAGAATACACTATGTGCATTTATAATAGCTATTTTATATATTGTAGTGTCAACATTTTTAAATTAAATGTTTTACATTCACATGTGAGGAGTCTTTGTCATTTGGTTTGTATGGGCTTGAAGAAGCTTCCTCCTGGCTCCGTAGGTCAGCAGTAGGTGCCTGTAACCCTGAAGTGCTGCTCTGCCAACTTACATTTTTGTCAATAAAAAGGAGACCTGGCCCTGGGGGCTTTCGGGGGCTTCTGGAGCCCTGGCTCTGGGGTTGGAGGAGGGACACCCTGACAGGCACCAGCCTGCTGGGGGGGCTTTGGCTTGGTGTTTTTTTATTCATAAATCTTAATTAGTGCTTGCTATTCAGGCACAACTCTGGAACTACACTGCTTTTTTTTTTTTTTTTTTTTCCCTCCTCCTTTCCAGTAGATGCAGGGGAAGTTTATTTTGGTGGTGTGACTGCTCTGCCTGAAGCAAAACCCAGGCGAGTTTCTGTGGGATCTGGCTGTGTGACTAAGTCCTGGTTAATAACAGCAGCCAGCACGGGAAGGCATGAAGTGGGAAAGCTAATTATACAACCTGAGAGCAGATGGGCTGTTGAGCAAACTGGAATGGGGCGCTCAATAAGATTCTCATTTCCCATCTAAGCTTTTTTTGATGAAATGGGATTATACACAAACCTTCACTTCAGAACAGCTCTTAGGCCTCTGCTAAGACAGGTCTGGTTTTCTCAGCAGGCCTTGTTAGGCTGGGGTAGAGGAAAGCTGCTCGGACTGCAGCTGAAACAGGTAATTAACATTTAAATTGAATGGTGAGGCCAGCTCTTAACGAACAGGCTGCACTAGTAGGGCTAGAGTAAAGTAGCACAGGGAAGTAGTTTAGCCAGCTGAGCTTGATTTATTTCAATAAAATTCAAAGTGCTGTGGCAGAAGAGGCGTTTCGGGAGGAATAACACGGAAGGTTTGTGCCAGGGAGCGCCGGCCCTCGCTGGGGTGGTGGCTCAGGGGCGTTCATGGCGCTTCCTTTGTGCCAGCCGGGAACCTGTCCTGCTGCTGGGGGGGCTGGGGCCAGGGCTCCCCTCTCAGACAAACCACTGCGTGTGCTTAAATCCTGCAGCTGGAGGAACAGGCGCTCCTTACCCTGCGCTCTTGCGCAACGTCCTCAGCACCCTGCCCTACGCTGCTCCGAGGGTGCTCCAACAAACGCAGATACCGGCATCTGCCCCGGAGCTGCTGAAAAGGTGCTAAAATGGTGCAAAGTTAGGTTGCAAACAAGTATTTTCCTCACTGCTAAACGTGTAGGGAAACATGTACATGCTTTTTAAAGGCCTGGATCAAAGTTAAGCGCTGTCTCAAGCTTTAGCAGATGCTGAGTGATCACCAGTAAATCACCTGGGCAGGTCTGTCCTGGGAGTACAGCCCGTCCAGGGGACACCTGACAGGGATGTCCCCACAGAAACAGGGTCCTCGGTGGCCCAGGAGCTGTGGAATTTGGGAAGTACTATGCAGCTTTGCACTGAGGAAGGTTAAAAATAAGAATTCCAAGCGATGGGATTTGTGAATGCTTGATTTGGTGCTGAACTGCAGTAGCAGGCTGGGCTCCTGCAGGAAAACTATGTTTTAAAATAACATCCCTCGAAAACAATGCTTCCTCCAAGTTCTTAGTGGAAACAATGAACCATCTGGGAATGCCTAGAAGCTGTTTCTTAAAATAAAATGATTGTCTAGCAGTTCTTACAAAAACAAAACAAAACAACAAAAACCCCCACACAACACAAAACCCAAACCCACCAGAAAAACCGTATCAAAGTGTATCAAAGTATCTATTAATCTTCGTAACCTCAACAAAAAGAAATTAAGTTAGATTTTGCATGCGGTGGACCAGAATAGCACTTCTCGGTATCCCACGATCTCCCTGTGATGATATCTGAAGACATAAACCGTTCCCTTACCGACCCTCCTGACAATTTCCTCACATTCCTGCTCGGAACGCGATGCAAACACCAGGCAGTCGAACATGCTCCCGTCGGGGCTCCCCGGGGAAGCGCTAAAAATGGAAACACATACAGGAGCCGGCAGAGAGAGCGGCTCTGAAATCCCAGCCCTGGCTTGTAACCGCACCAGCGACCCCGCGGCTGGGCTGGATGTCACTTGTTTATTTTTTAAGACCCCCATCCTTCTGTATCCCCCCCCCACCGCTCCTCCCAGGGCCCGGAGGCAACACTTACACCACGCAGAAGGCAAATAAATTGCTGCTGTCCACGCAGCGTCCCACGCAGGAGATGGCGGGGTAGGGGTAGCGGCACAGGAGCTGCGCGGGGGACGGGATGGGGGCTGCAGCCGGGCCATCATCCCCATTCCTGGGTTAAACTGGCCCCACGATCCATCCTGCCAGGCTCCCTGTGCTGCGAGAGCGGCAGCCTCGGGAGTCACCCGGCCCTTGGATGTCACTCGTTTACCTTGGAAGAAGTCTTCTCCTGCACGAGGACTTCTGCTTCCTTCACATCAAATAAAACCTCCTAAATGGGGGATGGAGGGGGAAGAAGTCCCAGTCATCACAGCATCTGAGCTCTAGTTTTAATCAAACACTTACAAGACATTGTTCAAGAGCAGAGGTGACAAAGCCCAGTCAAGCGCAGCTTTTTCAAGGACTTTTCTCTGTGCTGTCCCTTTTTTCACCATCCAGTGCTCTCACACCTGAATCTTTTCACAAACAACCCTGCCAAAGGCTCAAGCAACAGTGACCTTAAGCACCCCTGGAACCAGGCTCAGCCTCCCCACCGTTTTCCAAGTGCTTTCCTGCAGGTGCTTGTATTTTATTTTTTTTTTAACCTTAATGCACTTTCCTCTCCTGGCTGCAGAGATGCTTCTAACCAGAAAACAAAACAAAACAAAAACAAAAACAAACAAACAAACAAACAAACCCAAAAACCAAAAAACCTCACAGAGGCGGGGGTTGTGTCAAATAGCCAGGCCAAATGAACCTGGAGCTGGCAGAAAAAAATATCCCCAGGCAGGGCCCTTATTATTTCCCTGCAGTTTTCTCAGCGAGCCCTTCCCCGGATGCCCTCAGCCCCGTCGCTCACCCGCGCGGCCGAGTGTGTCTCCAGCACGGCGGGAATGGCCTGGCCCAGCACCTCTTTGCCACCATACTGAAACGAAGCGGGAAGGAAGGGATAACCCACGGGCATGTGAAAAGAAACCCAGAAGAGACAATTCACCCCTAAGACCATCTCTGCCCCATCGCCTCACCTTCCCGACGCTGGTCCGGCCCAGGTACTGCAGGTTGTAGAGCAGCCTGGGGAGAAAAGGGCTTGGGGGCATCAGAGCAAGGACCCCACGCATCCTCCCAATGCTTTTTGGAGGGGAAGAGGCTCACAGCCCCCCTCCCCAGGACACAGGGGCAGCTTTGGCCCCGTAGCCCTGAGTGGAGATGGGGGGGGTAGCGTGGGCACAGGGCTGTCCCGACGCCGCGACCCCCAGCCCAGCCCTGGGGCTCCCCGTAACGCTGAACCTACCTGCCCCCCTGCAGCCTCCGCGGGTCCCCCGAGCCCCTGCGCCGGGGGCCGTGCTGGAGCTGGAACTGGGGCTCCTTCTCCTTCAGGACCTTCAGGTAGGGCAGCAGCGGCTCGTAGACCCCCCCGTCGTGCCACCGCCACCGCAGCAGGCGGAAGCTGAGCGGTTGTCCCTTCAGCTTCTGCAGCACAGCCCCGGCCTGGAGGGATGGGGGGGAAGCAGAGGGGTGGATGGAGGGGGGGAAGGAGAGGGGTTGATGCGGGGGGGGGGACACACGCCAGCCCTCTGTGCCCACCCACCTGCCCGCTGTAGGCGTTTCTCAGCGAGCAGCCGTTGATCTCGTCGAGGATGTCGCCGGCCAGCACCACCTCGTCCACCTCCGCCTGACTCTTGGGGAGCACCTCGGTGACAAAGACTCGGCCGTCCACGTACCTGGGGGTGCAGCCGAGCCCCGGCTCAGCCCCCAGGGACCCAGTCCGGCTCCCCAGCCCTTTTGTACCACCAGTAACGTTTCACCAATACGCAGAGTCAGGGAAAAGCCACCTCACGGACAGCAGATACTGGTGAGGCTGAGCAGATGGGGAGAAAAGCACCCGAGACAGCCCCAGTGGTCTCAACGGGCTATTTATCTCCCCTTTTTGGGGGGGGGGGGGATTGAGTGCTGTGGCGTGCAGAACCTGCTGGAGAGCAGAGAGGAGGATCAAGGGCTCCTACCTGAGCACCATGCCCAGCGCTCGGCACGGGACCGTCTCGTAAGTGATGCACACCTGGAAGAGAGCGGCCGGTGACAGTGGCCCTGGCAATGGCCACAGGACACCCCAGGAGTGTGACCAGGCTGAGAGGGAGGATGGGGACCCCTCGCCCTGGATCATTTCTGGCACTGATGCTAAATCAGGGCTTCGGGAGCCCGGGGAGAAGCTGGTCCCCCGCACCTGAGGCTGGGTTGGGACCATCGGTGGCTGCTTGTCCCTGTCCTCTCCTGGGATTTGGCTGTGCTCAGACCCTGGAGGGACAAACCTGCTAGAGGGATGGGATGGTAAAGCAGCAGGTAAAGCCATAACTCAGCAATGAGCCCTCGCCCCACACATCTCCACACAGTGCTGCCACTCCTCCCCAAAGCTGCTGCCATTTGTGGTAGCACTTACTGTCACATCGCATTAGCCAGGGACCCAAAACGTGGCCAGTTTGGCTGGGAGCAGTTGCTGTTAGAAATATCTAAAAGCCAGCAGGATCCCAGCCTCTGCAGCAGCGCTGTGGCTCGGTGCACGCCATAACCAGCCCCAAAGTCACCTCAAGATTTTGGGGGGATTTTTTAGGGGGTTAAAAAGGCAGTGGAGGAATGCTCTTCATTTTTAAAAGACATCAAGGCATCCCCACTGTTGTCAATAAATGCATCAATATTTCACCTAGCAAAACCAAGAGTGAAACCAACTGACACGCAATCTATGTCAGCCCAGGGAAATGGGGATTTTTTGGCAAGAAATCAGAGAAGGGAGCATGGGAAAACATCATTTATATCAACAATTTAGGCCTGGGTACTATTCTTGCTTGGTTTTATTAGGAACCCTGGGATCTGCTCCTGGTGATAGCACAGGCACCCAGCAGAATCCGACCTCGGTGGCAGAGGCGGCTCCTCTCGTGCTGGTGAACCTGAGCCAATTCACCCCCGGCTGTGGCCGGGTGAGTTGCGTGGCAATCCCTCCCCACCAAATCATTCCTTATCTTCCTCATTTGACTTTTCAACGAGGGCCAGGTGGCGGGAGGACAGCTCCGGGGAGAGACGAGCTCTTACCGGCAGCAGCCAGCTTTCGTCCAAGAAGCTGCAATTCTGCAGACAAAGGGGCATCAGCACCATCGGTCCCGGCGAGGAAGTGGCCGGGGCCCCACGCCGGCAGCCGTGTGCCAGCCACCACCCCGCCGATTCGTCACCGTACCTGCAGGTCCAGGGAGAAATCCATCTCTGTCACCACCAGCAGCAGCGAGAGGAAAGGCTCTGCAGAGGGACAGAGAGGCAACGTCACCGCTGGGTTCCCGGTAGCCACAGCCTCACGGGGACATGGCAGAGGTCTGAACAAAGCCATTTTTGACAAAAATAATGAGCCCTGGGGAGCGAGGCCCTGAGATCATCCCAGCACCGCAGCACCCAGGCTACTGCTGGAGGCTCATCCCAGGCTCCTGCTGCCAGCGTGGGGAGAGAAGCACTGCAGCTCAATGCCTGATTTCCCCAAATTCAGAGCAAGGCTCACAGCAAACGCTGCTGCTGAGCAACTTTCTTTCCATTCCTTCCCCTAAATGCAAAGCAAAGCTGCCTGGACTCTCCTGCACGAGCCTTGCAATTACACTGATGGAGATCTGCAATCTGCTCATGCACCAGCAGTGCGGGTGATTTATAAGCCATCTAGGTACAGGTTTAACATGGGGTTATTTATCATAATCAAAAGATTAAAGGCTTTCACCCTGGCCTGGCCCCCCCAAGGAGTGTGGCTGTGGATGGTGTGGTGCAGCCTGTCAAGGCAGCGCAGCCATTTATCGCACCGAACCCCCCCGTGTGACCCCTCATGCAGGACTGCAGCCTGGGCCCAGCCTCCAAGGGCTCCCCTCGAAACCAGGCTGCTGGCTCTGCTTAAACCAGCGTCCTTGGTACAAAGAAATAATATGGAAGACACTTCAGAAGCAATTTTCTTACCCCATGACACTAAAACCAACCTTAGATGGTTTCAAACCGTGTTTAAATATTTACACCTCTTTTTTTCATCACTGCAGCAGCATATTTAGATTTTACTGCTAAGTTTGGCTTAGAAAAATCACAGTGGGCTGTTTTCCTCCCCACACGCAGCAGCACGGCGCCGTAACGCCTGCGACAACCACCCCGGGGGGCAAGTTACATCCCTCCTCGGAGGAGCCACCATCCTACCCAGGAGGTCTTCGTTGCCGAGGATGGAGCTCGCCGGGTCATAAAACTGAAATGCAGAGACACGCCACCATGACGCCGCCGTTTTGCTGCCTGGCACCCACAGGTAGCGGCTCCCCCCCCACCCCCCCCCGTGTGCTGCACCTCCAGGAGCTGGGGGGTCTGTGCCAGCTGCCGCACGGCCGCCGCCAGCACCTTCTCCTGCAAAGCCAAGCGCAGAAAGTGCCGCCCGCGGCCCTGCGCTGTCCGCGCCTTCCCGCAGCTGCCCGCCTTCCGGATGCTGATGGAGAGAGGGGTCGGCCTGTTTGGGGAGAGGGGAAGCAGCTCGGGGCCGAAACTTTGGCAGCTCATGGGAGCATCCTCCCCGCGCCCTTTGGGGTGGACGCACCGCGATGGTCGCCGCCACGGCTTGTGTTTTTATTCCTAGATTGGCTCGGGGTTGCTCACCTGCCGCCGTCCCCCGTGGGAAGCTGCTCCAGCCAGTGCCAGTAATCCCGTCTCCTGAAGCCCCAGGCTGGCTCTGGGGGAGAAAAGGAGTGCGAGGCCCCTCGCCACGGGCACCGTGACGCTGCCACCCCCCGCCCGGGTACGAAGGGCCACTCACGTCGGAGCCCCTTGCGCAGGATGCTCTCCAGCAGCTGGCAGAGGGAGGCGAGGTGCGGCGAGGTGTCCGTGCAGGGCCCCCCACTCTCCCGCAGCTGCAGCACGCTGCCTGTGGGGAGGGGAGCATCAGCACCCATGGGTACAGGCCTGTGCACAGCCCCAGGGTGGGTCGCTGGTGCTCGACACCCTGGCAGGATGTGACCCCTCCGCAGCCGCACGGGGCGGAAACTCAGGTAAACTTCCTCAAAGTCAAGGGCAGGTACGGCAGCGTGGGTGGAAACCCCCGGGTCAGGCGGCGGGGTCCCAGCAGCCCCCCCGGCCCGAGGAACCCCCGCCCGGTCCCGCCGTCGGTCCGGTCAAACCGGTGCAGCGAGGGGCCGGGCCCCCGGAGGCGGCGGGTACCGGCCCCGGGAGGGGAAGAGGGGGGGCTGCTCACCTTTAAGGGCGCTGAGCAGCGGCTCCTTCCTGGCCATGGGCTCGTTCCCCCCGCCCGGGGGGTCCCGCGGGAAGGGGAAACCGGGAAGGGGGAAGCGGGAACCGGGAAGGGGGAAGCGGCCCCGCCCCGGGAGCGCAGCGGAGCCGCCCGGCCCCGCGGGGGGGTGAAACCTCCCGGGCTCACACCCACCCGCCTCCGCCGCTGCCCGCGGGCCCGGGCATGCACGGACCGACAGCGGCATTCGGGCGCAGACAGATGTATCTATACCTTACGATGTACTTACAGCACATCGGCGTATGTATATACATATAGGTATGTACCTGTGCATGTATCAAAAGCCTAGAGAGACGTTGATGAAGACAGGTATAACTCGGCCATTGACACATATATACCTATATATCTGTACATACATAGGCATAAAGCGCATATATAACAGAGACATATATATATACGTATGCGCCTGTGCTGATATTAGGACCACGCAGGCGTTGGGCTAGGGCTAGGGATATAGATATATGTATGAAAAAGCCCCAGGCGCTGGCACCGCCGTAGGTACACCCAGCGGCGTGTGTAGGTGCAACTCTCGCCTTGTCTATAGGGATGCACACGCGCGACCGGCGCTGCCGGGGGCGCGCCCGGCCCGTGGGAAGGGGCTGCGTGGGGTGGGGAGAGCCCCCCCCCCGGAACCCCTCAGCGCCGCGAGTTCGAGCCCGGCCGCGGGCGGAGCGGGGCCGCGCCCCGGCCCGGGGGCGGGGCGGGGGCCCGGGGCGGGGCGGAGCGGCCATGGCGGAGGAGGCGGCGGAGCCCGGGTGGGTCCCGCTGCTGGCGGCCGCCCGCCGGGCCCACGGAGCGGCTTTCGGGGGGGAGGCGGTGCTGGCGGCGTGGGCCCCCGGCCGGGTCAACCTCATCGGCGAGCACACCGACTACAACGGCGGCTTCGTGCTGCCCATGGTAAGGGCCGTGCTCCGCCGCCCCGGCCCCCTGATCCCTCGGTGTCACCCTTCCGGGTCCTCCCTGCAGCCCCCGGGGGGGTCCCCCCGGGATTCCCCCCCCCCCACCACCGGAGCTCGGAGCAGGACCCGGAGCATGGGGGGCAGCACCCCGCTTCTACTCACTGCGGGTTGATGCGAGTCCCCCCTCACCGACGGCCTCTTCAAGGGGCTGAAGTCTCCTTTCTGCAATCCCATCGAACAGTCTTCCATTCCTGGAGAGCGATGCTTTGGTGGCAGAAAAGGTTCGAAGCAGCTGGGGCTTCCTGACCTCCTTCAGCTCAGTGAGCGAGCCCCCGCTCAATCCTAAATTAAACCCGCAGCTAATTATTTTGAGGCCGAGGAGTGTGGGAGCAGGTCAGCAGAATTCCTCTGCGAGCAAGAAAACTTCCCAAAGCCTTTTACGTCCTCATCGTGGGTTTCTACTCCCCCGGAGCCCAGCACCCTGGCGCTGAGCTGGGGTGGTTGGTCACAACATTTCAGTGCTAAGACTGACCCTGCGTGGCATTAAATAGCCAGAAATTTTTAACACTGTGACGAGCTGCAGTGTGCAGTGGGGGCTGGTGGCTCCACGTGGACAGACCCAGGTGTGGGGATGCTCCAAGGGATGCCGTGGAGTCTGAGCCCACCTTCCCCACCTCCCCAGGCCCTGCAGCTGGGGACGGTGCTGGTGGGATCCCCCACGCAGGACGGGACCATCTCCATCCTCACCACCTCGGCGGAGGCGGACGAGCCCCACAGGGTGCAGTTCCCGGCTCCCCGCCACGGCAGCCCCCTGAGCCCGGGACAGCCTCGCTGGGCCAACTATGTCAAGGGCGTCATCCAGCACTACCGGGGTAAGGCCCAGGCTGCTGGGAGGGTTGGAGCCCCCCTTCTCGCAGGGCTGGTGCTCAGATTTTGGTGTGCTCCAGGGGCTCTTTCAGTGCTGGTGCAATCCCATAGCGGCTGCCGGAACCGGGCTCCAGCAGAGACACTTTCAGCTCCAAAGACCCCTGTGGTTTGGGCAGGGAGGGGGGATGCCCAGGTCACATTCTGCCGTGGGTCACTCTGTATTTTAAAGTGGGAAATCGGACAGGGGCTCCTCTCTGAGGAGCTATGGGGCAGGGCAGCCCCCAGCCCTGCAGGGGCTCATGGCCCCCCCTTCTCCCTTCTCTTCCCGCAGGTGGTCCCGTGCCGGGCTTCAGCGCCGTGATAGCCAGTGACATCCCCCTGGGTGGGGGCCTCTCCAGCTCGGCTGCTCTGGAGGTGGCTACTTACACCTTCCTCCAGCAGCTCTGCCCCGGTAAGGCAGCAGTTGGTCCTGGCCCTGGCCCCTCTGTTCCCAAGTTGGAGTCAGGATGAGGGGGGTGCCCTTAGCAAGATTCCACACCCCTGGGGAAACACCTCTGTGGGGTGGGTCACAACCAGCTGCTCCAGCTGCGGTGGAGCTGCAATACTGTGGCTGCGGGGCTCCTCCAGCTCACCCAGCCTGATGTGCCCATGCCTCTAAAACCCACGGACCACCCCTGGGACTGGCCGGGGTTGATGAGAAGATGTTCCCTTGGAGGCATCTTCTCCCCACCCTATATCCCCAAAAATGGAGAGATCTAAGACACCAGTGTCAAACTATCGCATCCAGCTGGATCCAGGGACCCACGCTGGCACGGGTGTGCTGCACTGGTGCAGGAGCAGGCACCTGCAGCTGATGCTTTAGCAAAACCCCATTCCATGGGAAAGCAACCTTTTATCTTTGTGTTTGCTCCCCCTGCTCCAGGGCAAAGGGGCAAAGGTCCCAGAGCTGCTAACCTGCATCTCTCTGCTCTGGCACAGATGACGGTGATTTGGTAGCCAAGGCACTGGCATGCCAGAAAGCAGAGCACACGTTTGCCGGCATGCCCTGTGGGATCATGGACCAGTTCATATCTGTGATGGGCAAGGAAGGCCACGCGCTGCTCATTGACTGCAGGTCAGGGCTGAGCTCCTTGGGCAGGTGGGGACGAGCTAGTCCAGTGGCCATGAAATAAATGCAGGAGTGCAGGGAGGGATTAAACCCTGAACCCAGCCCCAAATCTCATCGTGGGGCTGGGGCTCCCTCTGTTTTAATTCCCATGTTGTGATTCCTCCTCCTGCATCCATTCTGCTACTCGCCTGGGCTGCCTTTGCTGCAAAGTCATTAGGGTCTATTATGAGACTGATAATTGGGAGGGAGTAAAATGCTCAAATGAAATCCTAAACCACTTGGACTTTGCCTCTGCAGAGGCAGGAGCTGCCTGCCCTGTGACCTCACCCGGATGGCCGAGGGGTGGAATGGGCAGGGGGGACGAGCACAGGGCCTGTGCTGAGCTCTTCACTGCAGGTCCCTGGAGACCGTCCTCGTCCCACTGACCGATGCCGGCTTGGCTGTCCTCATCACCAACTCCAACGTGCGGCACACGCTGACGGGCAGCGAGTATCCGACGCGCCGGCGGCAGTGCGAGGAGGTGGCGGCAGCTCTGGGCAAGGCCAGTCTGCGGGATGCCACCATGGCTGAGCTGGAAGGTGGGGACAGTCCCTCCCTCGGCTCTGGCCGCTCCTCGGGGCAGCAGGAGCTCAGTGCCCCATGGCACGGGCTGTGGGGCAGCACCTGGGGCAGGTGGGTGGGTGCACTTACCGGGATGGGAGCGTGCTGCAAGTAGAGAAGCTCTGGCAGAGGAAGGTTGGAGGATGCAGCCGTGCTCACCCCCAGCAGCATCCCACAGACCCGAGTGGCTTTGCTGCAGGGACATGCGTGTCTCCGCAGCGGCCAGGAGCCGGCTGGGCGAGGAGGTGTACCGGCGGGCCAGGCACGTCGTTGGCGAGATAGCACGGACAGCCCAGGCAGCACAAGCACTGCGGGACAGGGACTACAGGACGTTTGGGAGGCTGATGGTGGAGAGTCACAGCTCCCTCAGGTGAGGAGGTACCAACCCTGGGGTAGGGCAGGCTGTGTCGGGGGCACCAGCGTCAAGTCCTCGGGGGGGGTTGCCCTACCTGGGGGTGCAGCACTGGGGACAGCCAGTACCGTGTCCTGCCTGGCATCTCTCACAGCTCAGCCTGCCAGGGAGTTTTAAGAAAAGCCTCACAGGCTTCTACGCTGGGGGGTGCTGGGATGAGGCAGCCCACCGTGTACATTACAGCTGTGTGCTGCTTACGGCAGCGCCCAGCGAGTTCCCGATGCTCGCAGCCTTGCTCACGTACACATGCACTTATAGGCAGAGAGCTGGACCAGCATCTGCAGCATCCTGCATTGCTGCAGTTTGCTACGGTAACGGATACACCAAGATACAGGTTTCAGCTGCTCATGATGCAGGGGCTTGGCCGGGGTGCAGGACAGGGCTGACCACAGGTCTTCTCTCTCCAGGGATGACTACGAAGTGAGCTGCCCGGAGCTGGATGAGCTGGTAGCAGCAGCCCTGGAGGTCAGTGGGGTTTATGGCAGCAGGATGACTGGGGGAGGCTTCGGAGGCTGCACGGTGACGTTGCTGGAGGCTGGGGCTGCAGAGAGAGCCCAGCACCACATCCAGGTACATGGCAGAAAAGAGCCAGGAGATTGTCTTAAAGATCCCTAGGAAACACTCAGGGGCATGGCCCGGGGATGCCGTTGAAGCTGCGTCCTGAGGCACTTGGGGCTGGTGTAGCCCATCCAGTGCCACGCAGGGATAGCCCTAAATCTGTTGATGTTACTAAGCTCTTGCAGGCAGTTCAGCACCATGCTGGTCCCAGAGCACTGCCCAAGGACCTCACTGCATTGAGAAAGTGAGCGAAAAGATGCCGCGTGAGCTTCAGGAAGGCTAAATCTATCTAGGGAAAGGTAATCCAAGACAAGCTTAGGCAATGCTGAGCATAATGCCAGCAGTTACAGCCCGGGAAAGATCTCAGTGTCGTCATCAATGTTCTCTAAATCAGCAGCTCAGCGGGCACTGGTAGCTGAAAGTGCCAGCAAAATGGGGGTGTCAGGAAATAGGGGCTGTGAATAAGGCGGAGACTCATTCTGCTGCTCTGTATGATCACAGTGTGTGCCGTAAATGGAGGTGAGGGGGATAAAGAAGGGTCTGAGGAAGGTGTCTGAAATGAGGAGAGACCAAAAGGGCTGTGCCTCTGCCATCTGGTGAGAAGCTGGAGAGAGGGAATGTGACCAGGAGTTACAAAACAGCAAAGGGGGTAGGATAGGGTGAGTGTGGAACTGACCCTCAAATTCTCCAAAATAAGAACCAGTGACCACTGGATGAGTTAGGAGAAAAACAGAGCTGAGAAAGGACTGTGCAGAGCTGGCAGTGAGTTTTCTGCTGTTGCCAGAGGCTGTGGAGGTCGACAGCATCAGCAGGGTCAAAAAGGGGGTCGGAAAAAGTCTTGGAGAACAGTCCCTAAGGGCCTGATGAAGGATCAGCTTGGGGATGTGTTGATAGCCTCCCTGCCCCATGCTGTGGATGGACCAAGGGACCCCGGGCAGTGGCCAGGACAGCCTGCTGTCCCCGGGAAGCATCTCATGTGGCCACTGGCACACGGCCGGGCTGACCGGCATGGCCTTTCTCCCCTGGCTCTGGCATCCCCCAGCCCGGCCTCTTGCTTGGTGTGGTTCAGCCCCAGAGCCCCAGCACTTACTGCTCCTCTTGTCTTTTAGGAGAAATACAGCGGCACGGCCACCTTCTACCTCACCAAACCCTCCGGCGGGGCAAAGGTGCTGCCCCTGTAGAGGAGCGACCACCTCTCCCCCGCTGGGATCAACACCCCCTCCCCGAGAGGTGGCTGCTTTCCTCACTTCACAAGGGAATAAATTTGTCTGTCTGCATCATCTGCCTAATAAATGCAAAACATTTACACAGTCATTCTGCACCCACCTGAGCGGAGCTCTGGCACCAAAGTCACTGGGGACCTTGCCTCAGAGGAGACTGGTTTAACTCCAGTTTGCACTGGTGTAATGAGCCATGACCAGGGATGCCGGGTCCAGTAGTGCCTCGGGAGCTGCAGTCAGAGGGTGGGACAGCCATGGAGCAGCAGCAGGCACTGACAGCAGAAGCCCCTGCTTGAGTATCTGCTTCTGGCACATGTCCTTCAGCTGCTACTGCAGATGGAGGGTATGGGAGAAAGATGATTTTATTTATTTCTTAAAGAAAAGGGAAGAGAGGCAGACAATAGAGAAAATATTTATTGAGTGCAATAGGAAGGCATCTGATCAAAGAGCCGCTGTCAGAGCGGGCTGCTGGATCCGCCTTGGAAAGACTGAACCACCACCAGCCCTAATGACCAGATGAAAATTAAAAAGTGACGCTGTTTTCGTGCGAGGCATCGCTTAGGTGCACAGCCACCTTGTGCGTGGGGATGGCATGAGACGCTGGTGAGCAGGAGCTAAGGGCTGTGCTCTTCTCTTGGATAACAGGAAAGTCTGGTTAAAATGCTTGGAAGGGGAGCTCCATTTTTAAACAGTTTTCAGTGTTTTACCCTGGACCACAAAGCACAGGAAAAGGGTCACAGAGTCCTAGTGCAGGAGGAGACGCATCAGCTGGAGAGGAAACCCCAACCCCGCTGGTGAGACAGGAAAGAGGAAGCAGGCAGGCTAACACCATTGGTACTTTCTCAGCAAAAATAACTGCTTCTTGAAGGCACAGTAAAACCACAGGGTTGGTGAAGTGTCTCTTGCCCAAGTTCAAAACTGACCAAGCTCCAGCTGCAGTTCTGGAGACTCCTGTGGACATTACTCACGCATGTGCATCTTTGGTTCAAATATGTACAACCCGTCCCACTCAAATGAACAGCCCCAAGAGGAGAGGGAGCTCTCGGTGGTGTCAGTGCTGACAACTCTTCTTCTGAGTCAAAAAAAAACAAACAAAAAAAAAAAAAAAAAAAAAAACAAAAACAAACCAAAACCAAAATCCCCAAATAAAATAGCCAAGGTCCAGCATCAGATCAGATCAGGCAGGCGATGGTGCCAGGGAGACCAGGCAGCTGCTGTTTTGGTTGGAAGTTCTAACCCAGAACGGTGGCAGCTGCTGCTGTGGGCTGGATCCTTGCGGCAGGTTCCTCGCTGGCTCCCGGGCAGCTGAAGCACGCCAGGGAAAGCCGCTGCTCAGCAAGACATGGAACCCAGTTGTTCTCATTGGCAGAGGGCAGCAAGACACCAGGCATCGTGCCCAGAGCCAGGAAACAAGGCCCAGCAAGGTCTCAGCTCAGCCCTGCACCCAGCACCGTGCGAGGACAGCTAAAGCTGAGCGTCGAAGGAGGCTCAGAGACTTACTCAGGATGATTGGAGAGCCTGCTGCTCCCAGGCTTGCTCTTCCCTTGTGTTTACTGAGGGATCACATGTCCCTTTATGGACATTGCTGTTGGGCAAAAGGGCTTTTAAACAATACCCAACATCTTCTGCCCAAAAATCTCACGCTCTCCGCATCAGCCCCATAAGAAATCCCAGGCAGCCCTGCCTGTGCCATCCCCAGCCCTTCTGCGCTGTGCTGGGGCTGGGGAGCGCTCGGCTGGTGGATGCTGTGCAGCGAGGGCCACTGGCTGCTTGCAGCCTTCTGCTGGGGTCCCTGGTGCTGCAGGATACAAGGCTCAAGGCAGAACCCATCAGCTCATCAGCAGGCTTTCCACAGGGTTTAGTGGCCTTTGGATCAAGCCCTTAACTCATTTCCTCCGGTTATTCATGCTTCTCCGCAGCCACAGTCCCAGCGTAGCCTCCACATTCAGCACAGATCTCATCCACCTCATTTTTTTTTATAAAATAATAAAATACATTTATATATATTTATATATATATACTACGAAAACTGTACAATATCGTATGCAAAAAAAAATATGCATCAGAGGCCATCATCAGTAATGCTATACAAATGAAAGGCTATACTTTGCTATCGTGGTACCAAATGTTAGCAGCGAAAGATAGACATAAATAGGTGCAGTAAGAAAGCATAGGTTACCCCCAACCCCCACCTTGCAATTCTCATGTAAAGAACCCAAACAGAACAAAATAGCCATCTCCATTGGACAGGCAAGTTGTCAGAGACCCTGGAGCAATGATGGAAATGATGACCCTCTATAAATCAGGATGTTGCCAGCTGGGATCCTCTCAAAACTGAGGATGTGAGAATAAATCATGCTGTTCCATTTATCTGGGGAGGCCAGAGCCATCGAGACACCCAAATGTCGGCAGATGTATTTGGATGGATGGGCACTGAAGAATGGTATTGGAGTAAGTGGTGATTGTTCATGGAAGACATCCCTGTGGACTCTACAGAGCAGGACAGGGTGAGCAAGCTCTGAAGGATGAGCACACACCTGATGACCCAACCGTGCCAGAGCTTCGAGTGCGCTGGGCTCCAAAGGAGAGGTCCAGAGCTTGAAGTGCCATGGAGGGTCTCTGCCCACAGGAGGAGCTGCCCAGGCACCGTGGCAGTGTCTGGATGAAGCACCCTTGGAGCTTTCCACAAAGTCCTGCCACCTGAACACAAATGTCCCGCTGGCAGGCAGCCTGCCCTGGATCAGGCCTCATAGAACTGCCTCTCCATCTGTTTGGTGAGGGTCCCACTGGACATCATGGTCCGGCTCACAAACTCTTTGGTGACCTGTTTCGTGAGGGTGCTGCTGGCGCTCTCCACTCGTTGGGTCGTCAGCAGCATGCTGTCTGCAATGAGAAGCTCAGTGGTCAGGACACCGTGCCAAGTACAGGGTCACAGGGAATAGGATCTGCTCTACCTGGTGACTCCTGGCAGAGGTTTCTCCTTAAATACCACTTTCACTGCTGGAAAACCTCTCCAGATCACATGATTTGGTGCTTTTCTATGTCAGTCAATAAGATGGATCTCCTAACAGTTCCCAAACTCTCCATGGTGCAGCATGAACCCATGAGTCCAGGAACTCAAGTGGGACAACTACACTCATGTAATTAAAGGTGGTCATCACATTTCTCTGTTTTTGCCTGCTCTGAAGAGATCTGACCTTGCGGAAAGAGCTACAGTCTGGTCCCTAGTGATAGGCCCAGGGGACTCTGAAAACTCATCATGCCTTTCATGACCGGGCAGCACATGGGGAAACAACTGCAACTGCCTTTGGGGCAGAGCAGGGACACGATGTAGGAAAGGGTCTGGTCCTCTTCATCCATCCCGCCTGATGGACTCTCCCTCCCTGCATCTGACACTTGAGGTAAAAGCGCCCTCAGACCTCTGGACAAGCAGAGTTATCCTTTGCTTTCTGAAGGTTTCAGAGTAGGCAGCGAGCCCTTACCTGTGAAGTGGGGATCCAGAGAGGAATGGCTGATGCTGGTTTTGGTGGTGTATTCGGTGGGGAATGTGTACACTTCTTCTCTCATATACTGCTGTCCTCCAAACTGGGAGAAAGTGCCTGGGGAGAAGGAAAAGGGACAAATCAGCCAGGAAATGACACAGAACTTTCAACCCTGCACAGTGAGAAACAACAGACAGCTCAGGAGGTTTCTCTTGACATCAGAGCCAGATTTAGGAGGAACTGGGAGGACTGGGGAGGTCTTACACCTGTGCAGTGTAAGAAGCTGTCTCCAGGTATGTGTACAACCAGGCATAAGACAAAAATGTCATAATAGATTAGACACTGTCAGGTTCTCACAATCCTCCCTCATTCAGTGCATCAGGATTGGGACAGTGCTCACAAGGCACAGCATCGTCTTCATGGAAGACAATGTCTTTCATGGAAAATGGAGTCACCACCAGAGCTGGAAAGGGACTTCAGGGGTTGTGTTTCCTGCTATGAGAGTTTTCTTATCTTTGTGCATCCTCAGAGACATGGTACTGTACCTCCATCCTGAGATTCGATGGTGATGATGCCTTCTCTCTCTGGCCCAAAGCCTTGGGTGGTCTTGGCTTGTACTTTGAACTTGTATGGGACATTCTCACTCAGGTGGGGCACAGTCAGGGTAGTTTCCAGATTGTCTCCTTCGACATAGATATTCCTGGGCTCCCCTAATCCACAGAGACATGTCAGCGATGAAGACAGACACCAGTCACTGTCCCTCCAAACACACTCCCCCCAACTCTGCCTGCTGTCTGGGCTTTCCCTAAGCTTTGTGACACCCACAGACTGTATGATTACACCCAGTTCTACTAAGGGTTAAGATAACCCTATTTTATTACAGTGAGCCTCAACAAACAACCTCCACCGGGCTTGGGCTGTAATAAATTACAGATCCTTCCTCTTCCCACCACATTTGTTACACCAGACCCTGCAATGACACAAAGAGTCAGGGTCCAGCAGCTCCCAGGCCTGCACTCAGCCTCATGTCCCCCCTTTGCCTGCACAGATGTAAGCAGACAACTTTGTTGCTGGTCCCAGCAAAACCACAGCAAGTTGCTGCCCTTGCTGGAAGTATCTTGTGCTCTACACAGAGAACGGGGCTTTCACAGCCTGATACTATACCTCCTCCATGCAGCATCTCACAGGTGACCATGTAGCCCAAGATGGACCCATTTGGTTTGCGGGGTCTCTCCCAGCTGAGCTGCAGGGAGTCGGGGCTGAGGGCAGTGAAAACCAATGGTCCAGGAGCACTGGGTGTGCTCAGCGTGAAGGGTGAACCTGCAGGGACACGAGTGAGAGGTCAGTGTCACAGAAGGTGGTGAGGAGGAGCCTGGGAAGAATCTGCACACAGCATTTGTGAAATGAGCTTGAAGGTCTCAGCTATCTAGACAGCGAGTGGAAGGTAAGTGCATGGGGAAGAAGGTCCTGTTTCGAAATGAAAGGAAGGAAAGGGGAGCTCAGGATGTGGTAAGGGGAGACGAAACAGCAAGGCCAGCACTGTAGACAGCAGCAGAGATGTCAGTGCTGCCCTCCTCCTGCCACCCATCCACCTCACCTGGCACAGGGCTGAGCGGGCTCTGTGGGTCCACCTGGGACTCTATGGTGATGACTCCTTCCCTCTCGGGGCCCCAGCCTTCCTCACTCTGCGCCTTCACCTTGAAGATGTACGAGTGGTTGGGCAGCAGGTCCTCTACCACCACTGAGTTCTGGTTGGGGTTGGGGATGGTGAGTCGGTGCACCTCTCCTGGGATGCACAGGGAAGGGGGACATCAGCACCATGTTGCAGGCACAAAGACAGAGCCATGGCTTTCACCTAAACTCCATCTCAAATGAACTGCCTGGAAAAGTCATCCAGGGCCCCTCCCCAGCCACCTCCATCACACCTTGCCACCAACAACCAGTAGTGCAGGATGAGATGTTCCAAAAAAAGCTTGGGACAAACAACAGCTTCTTGAAAACTCCAGGATTTTCATCAAAAGAGGATCACATTTTTACTAATGCTGCGCAAGTTTCATGTAAAAGTAAGAGATTTTCATTCCAACCCTCCCTCCAAGTCCAATGCGATGAAAAAACCTTCAGCTAAGATGTTGAGGCTGGTGGATGAGTCCAAGGTTTTTTGGAGGAGGAGTGACTCCACAAGCAACCTCAGGAATTGTGCCTCCAGTGGAAATGGGCAATGAGAGCTGTGGGGTAGCTGAGACATTTCCTCAAGGCTACACATAAAGCAGAGTTGGGACCAGTTCCTGAATCCCAGAATGGTTGAGGATGGAAGGGACCTCTGGAGGTCAGCTGGTTCAACTCCCCCTGCTCAAGCTGGGTCACTCAGAGCCAGGTGCCCAGGAGAAGACCCAGACCAGACTTCTCCACCACCAGAAACTCAGACCACCAACTGCCTGGTGGGCACCGACCTCCTGTTCACTGACCTCCATTGAGGAGCTGGTACTGCACACTGTAGCCCTGCACCTCCTTCTCACAGTGTGGCTCCTGCCAGCTGACCTTCAGGGAGGTGGGTCCCAGGGCGGAGAACACCAGGCGTGTGGGGGTGTCGGGGATGCCCAGTGGTAGCCTGGAATCTGAGGCAAAAAGGCAATGTCACAGTGGAGATTTGGGGGCTGGGGGCTAAGCGGGCTGGGGGAGAGGAGGGGAGTGGCACGCTCAAGCGTGGGATGGTCCCGATGGTTCGGGGGAGAACGTGGCGAGATGCCATCTCTGCAAGCTGGCCTGTCATGAAGGGGGACTGGCTAGCTCTGCGCACCTACAGTGATGTCCCGTGGCCTTAGGGTGCCAACCTTAGGTGGGACAAATCAAAGTAAGCTTCAGGCCCCCATGATAGAGAGACCAGACCAGGGGCCCAGGTGCTGTGTGTGGCCATCCTCGCTCACCCCGAAGCACCCTGTCCAGTCTGCCAGAAGTTTCACAGACATCTTCAGATGTAGCTCAGTTAAGACTGGCCCTAGTCTATAGCTAAAGCGGCCCAACACCTCCAGGAACGTTTAAGGGATGGGGGCAGCTGGGACCAGGACTGACTGGGTGCTCTGTTTCCCCCCCAACTCAGCCCACTGGGACACAAGGCTCATGGTGAGCACAGCATCCTCCCAGGTGACACTCAGAGACCAAAGCCCCTCACTGACGTGGGCTTTGGCCAAGGAGCTTGCAGAGGGACATCTCTCATGGAGCACACGTTCTCCCCAAGAGTCTTCCAAAGGCCTGTGGGATAAGACGGAACAACAAGCATGTTAGGAACGAAGAGGTCAGGGACAATGAGCTGATCAGCTCGTTAGAGCATGGTAGCAGTGGTGGTGAGTGTTAATCAGCCCAGGTGGGTTGAAACACAGCTGAAGTCACCTGCAAATGGAAAGGTGGTGTGATGGAGGCACAGGCCAGGTCAGGAGGAAGATCAGTGCGGCACACAGCAAGCCATGGAGAGAGGGTTTGGGGCGAGCAGTGGATGGCAACAGCTCATGGATGGCTGGTGACTTGGCTGTTATGGGATGCATGGCTGGGAGGAGACACTGGACAAAGCTGTACCTATGTACTTGCAAATCCCTGCGGACCCATCAGTCATGATTATAGAGTCCCGAAAGCCAGTGCTGGGGTAGTAACCCTTCACCTTTGCCCTGCTCCTGAAACCCACATCCCGGGGCCGGGGGACTGTCCTCCCAGCATCTTCATGGATGGGAGGGAGGAGCCTCCCCGGGTAATCTACAGAAGTGGTGCAAGAGAAAGAGAGAAAAACACCATTGGAGATTTCAGAGTGAGTTTAGCCCGTGTACCGGCTCCTGCAGAGATGACTTTTTAAGGCTCAGGTTTAAAGAGCTTTTAACAACCTTCTGTCAGTGCCAGCTGATGTACACGTGTAGAACTGAAAGGCAGCCATGCTGCTGGATAGAGTAAGAAGAAGAGACATGTACTCTTTCTGAAGTGTTTCACGGTGTAAAGATAAAGATGTAGCTCCATTTCCTGAGCACTCTGCAAGTGAGGGATGGGAACCCTCTCCAAACTGGTTTGGGAGCAGAGTGGCTTCAGCAAAGCACCTACACATTTGTGGTGAGGACATGACCTTCCAGATCTCTGGTTTGTAGGCCCTATTAGCTGTGAACACAGTTGTCACCCCAACAGGATTTGAAGGGCATGGGTCCGAAGACAGTTGTGGAGGTGGAAGGGAAGAGGAGGTCCCATAACCACAGTACTCACCGTGCCCCATCAGCATTGTGGAGTAGTCTCTCGTCAGCGAGGAGCTCCCCATCACCCTGTGCTCCTGCTGCATGTGTGGGCTCAGCTGGTGGTAGCTGGTGTTCGTTGTCCTGGTCAGCGTGCCGCTGCCGCTACCAGGGAAGGAGAAGTCCACGCGGCCATTCAGTAAGTTCTCTGTGAAAGAGAGCAGATCGTGAGGAATCTGGCTGTGGATGGGGATGCTGCCCCAGTTTCCGTGGGGACGGAGCAGGAGGCATTATGGTGCACCCTCCCTTGGCTGCATCCTGGCTTCAGCCACTCTGGAAGCTTGTGCTGGAGCACTACATCTAGAACAAGACACAATCAGCCAACGGGATGATGCAGAAACAAACAGGTAAACGGAGACTTTACCCTACACCCAGCACCAGAGACACCCATGGTGCCCAAGGTAACTCCAGACCTCGGCCTCGCTGGGGCACTGCCTTGTGGTTCTTGCCATGTTCTCTCACATCTTTCCTTAGACGCAAGCACAGGTTTATAATTTCAGATTAAAAAAGAAGGCGAAGAGGGAAAATAGCCCTTTATGGAGGCGGTTTCTCCAAATCTCACTCTGGATCCCATCTCGGCTGGATCTGAAAAGCAAACTCTGCTCCGTTGTTCTGGTCCTGGACAAGCCCCCATCCCTTCCCAGCAAGCCAGGAGAGATCAGCTACCCATGAGGGAGTGATTTCTGTTTAACAGTCCAGCAGATCTGCCCCAGAAACTCAGGGCACTTAATTAAGGTGAGGAGCTGCCCTTGGAAGTAGCACTTAGCAGGTATCATCCGAGTTTGCTCCTGCCTTGAAGGTCCAGCTTTTTGTAGAAGCAGCTTGCTAGCAGGCTCCCAAGTCCATGCCGAGATGGGGGTTACCTTGACACTCTTGTGAGCAGACACACCAGGACAAGGTTTTGAAGCAGACTACAGCACGTGAACAGTGAATCACGCCAACACGAGGATGGGCACACAAGGGGAGGAAGGGGACACGTGCTAGGGCAGACCCCAGCCGCCGGCCCCTCGGCTCAGAGCAGGACGAGACAGGACACTCAGTGCCGTAACGAAGCCGTCCTTCACCTGCTTGGGGCCGGGGCGTCCCGCTCCTCCTCAGGCTGCCAGTAGCCACGTCGCCGTCCTCCTCGTGGAGGAGACCCTCGGTGTCTGAGGAGAAGCGGCTGCTGCCAGAGAGGCGGGGAATGGTTTCAGGTGGGAGCCTCCAGGTGATGCGTCGAAGATCCAAGTCTTCTCCCAGCAACTGCACATATTTCCACCTGGAGCCTTTTGGGACAAGGCAAGCACTGGTGTTGGCATGATCTGCAGGGGACAGAGTGGGCTACCCGCTACCTTCGTGCTGCTTGCTGGGGAGGGGACGGGGCAGGTGCCAGTGGGAATGACACCCTTTCACAGCCCATCCCGCCAAGTGGTGGCCGATGAGTTCAGGTGGTGCAACCATCGTGTGACTGGTAGATGGAGGATAGTGGGAGCATCACATGCATGGGGTTTCTCAACCTCAGGGCTGTTTTCCAGCCCTGTGTCCATCATGACAAAAGGTGAGAGTCCCACCACATGCCTGTCCCTGTCACGAAGAGTCTGCAACAATTGTCCTCTGCTCAGGAGAGGTTTTCTCACTCCTTGATGTGCGCTCGGGATGGTCGGACTCTTGGTGTTCCCATTACCTTGCTCTCTGAAAGGACCAGGGACTCACGCCTGGATCCCAGGACCTGGAGAACCCCCGCAGGGAAGACCCTCCAGATCCTACTGGCAAGCCTCATTTTTTCATTTATGGCTCATCTTCCCCTTGTTGTCCCAGTACAAGACAAGGGAGCCAGCCTCATTCAGAGAGGGAAGTGATGGAGGAAGAGAAGCCAGTGCCTTCCCAGCGCTCGGTGAGTTCCCTCTTGTTGGCTTGGCCAAGACCCTGAGCATCCAAGGGACTCGGAGGTCTGTGCCTTGCCAGTGCTTGTTTGCTGACAGTAACTCTTGTGGTCCAGCCAAATGGCAACAGGAAGGGAAGATGAGCAGGGGGAGACATGAAAAGCTTCTCTCCCTCCCTACACTGGGATTTCTCCTTGCTTCATGGCTAAGACAAGGAGGGACTGGTCTTATTTACATTGTGATTAGCCAAGTGTTCCCATGGATGCAGCTACTGTGCTTTGGAAAGGTTGATCTCTGCCATCTCTGTGACTTGGATCTCCCCATCTCCATGAGGAGGAAAGGAGCAGTGAAGCTCATTGCAGAAAGCTGTTGTTAAGGAAAATGAATGTTAAAAACGACCTTTGCAAAACTCAGAGCAACGTACCTGAATCATCAGAGACACTGGGACGCTTGCTGCCAGCTGGAGAGCGAAGCACATCTGCACTATACATCAGGTAGCTGTCATAGTCCTCACCTCCCTCTGCATCAATGATGGGGACATCAGGGATGATGGGGACTGGAGGAGAGGTGGAAAGTGCCATTAGACAAGCAGCTCGAAACCAGAGAGGCCTCTCACACTCAGTCTGGCCTTCAGCATTCACCAGGGTGGCTGGTGCAGCAGAGCAAACAGGATGTGGAGAAGCAGCTGGGGTGATGGGGAGAAGTCCCCAGCACTGCTTCTTCCCTCCCAGCTCCCCACCCAGGCAGGGCGGTAACTCACTGGACATCGGGCGCTTGGGCTGCGTAGCAAGGTTGATGGTGGCTTCTCTCTCAGGTCCCCAGCCAGCACCATTTCTGGCCTTCACCATGTAGCGATAGGGCTGGGACTCCCGCAGGTTTTCTATCAGCACCATGCGCTTCTTTGGGTCTTCAACCAGCACCTTCTTCATTGGACCAATGGGTACTGCAAACATGGGTACGCCTATCACACACGAGGTCACGAGACACAGAGGACCCCACAGCACCTCACCCTTGGCCAGCAGGTTCACTCAGGTTTGGTGTCAGGACACAGCCCGGCTCTGGGACAAGGTACGGCAGCTATTTGAGCTGCTCATGACAGGCATGACAGGGAAATTCCCCAACTGAATGCTGAAGTCAACTACAGCAGAGGTCTCCTGTTGCTGGTGTTTCACCAAATAGCATCTTCCTGGCACCCTAGTCCTAGGTCTACACCTACGAACAAAGTTTTTAAGACGAAAACCAACACAAAACACTATGGAAGTAAATGGGAACTGAGAGTGCTCTGGGCTTTGCAGGGTTAAATCCTAAGTGGTGATGCTTCTGTACTCCTTCCATCAAGAAGTGACCCCTCCAGATCCAAGTTTTCACAAGAAACATGATTGGAGCTGTTGTGGTTCTGTTGCTGCTTGGGACTGGCCCAGCCTGCAGAAAGTGCGCTCCAGCCCTTCAGCCCGGCCAGACTGCCCTGGTCAGAAAATGAGTTCTTACCATTGTCCTCATTGACGAGTCCATAACTGACTTCGTAAGCTGTGATCTCCCCATTGGTTTCTGCAGGCTCAGCCCAGCTCAACTGCGTCACGGTGGAAGACACAACATTGAAAGCCAAGCGGCCGGGCTCGCTGGGGACTGGAAAGGCAAGAGCAAAGGGTCCAAGTTACTGCAGGTTTGGATCCAGTGCACACACATGCCCAGAGCTCCCTGGATCACAGCTGGGTTGCACTGGGAGCTGCTCAGTGCTTGTCCCCAAGACCATCGGGAGCTCAGTGCTGGAGCTCTGACCCCATGCTGGGTGCACAGGCACCAACTTGCTGCCACATGGTGGGAAGCAAAGTGTAGAGCTGCTCACCATCCTCAAGTGTGCAGCAGTGGATGATGTCAGAATAAGCCCCTTCACCCATGGCATTGTAGGCGCAGACTTGCATCTCGTAGTCACAGAAGGGGTAGAGGTTACTCAGCTCTGCTGATGGTGTTTTGACATCGATGAGATGGGCTTCAGACTCGGGGTCCCCTTGGATCCAGTATTTTACCTGGCAAAGCAAGAGCAAGCCATAATTTCTTCAGATCCTCTCCACAATGGGTGAGAAATTCCCTATCTCTTATTAGATCGGCTCTGGGAAAGCCAGGGTGTTGTGCCATTCCTCTGAAATAGGAGGACAGGGCAGTCTGGGCATTTCATGGTAAGTGATGGAAAGGGAGATGAACCCGCCAGGAATCTTTCCTGCAAATCCCACACCTACCCAGCACTGGTCCCTTGGGGATGGAGGGGGGCCAGAACCTTGTTCCCTTCCTTTGACTGTCTTCTCCCCATCCCTTTGGCACAAATGACTCTGTGTGTGAAACACCTGGACCCACACCCTCCCCAGGACCCACTCACCCCTTACCTTATACCCCAGAGGTTTTCCTGGTGGAGGAAACCAGCTGAAGCGGATTTCCTTGGAGCTAAGAGCATGGGCATTGGGATTGAGCGGAGCACTCAGGCGGCCTTTGGGGGACTGGGAGACCTGGCTCAGGCCAGTCATCGAGGGGACACCATCCACGACCTCTGCAGACACAAGGAAGAAAGGTCACATCAATGCTAGTCCCTCACGTGGAAGGAAAAGAAGGAAGCGTGCCTCTCTCCAGCACTGCCCTGCCATTCTGAGTGAGCCTCTCAAAGCATTTCTTGAGGGGTAGATCCATGTCGTAGGGAAGGGAAACTGAGGTTCTTGATGATGACATCCCCCAAAGCCACACAGCAAGCTGGCATGAGAGTTGGGCTCAGACCCATCAAGTCCTGCACCTCCTGCTGCTTCTCACAGGCTGCCCAGGTAGGAAGAAATTAAGGGACCACCTTTTTGCCTCTGAAAATCTTTATCTCTGTCTAAATGTATTTCATATTGCTTCAACATTTTGATCACTTGCCCTGTGCAGCCATGAGAGAAGACAGAGATGGGCAGAGTCCTCCTGAGTTGCACAGTTGCTTCTCCTGTACACCCACGAAGTCCAGCTGAGTGCTGTCTGGAGCCTCGCCAGCCCCAGTGTCTGCCCCAATGTGGTTCTGGTTGGTCCCATAACAAGGAACTTTCTTGTGCCCCCACTATTCATGATGAGTACTGTGACAAATACCTTTACGTTATCAACCCACTTGATGTCAACCCTTACAGTTTTTCTTGTCCAGCCACAGAAACCACCAAGAACAGCTCATGGCAAGTCCCACCTCTCTCCAAGCTTTTTATTCAAATCCCCAAGGAAAAGGAATGAATAATCCACTCTATTTCCTTTTGTGAGGTAGATTATCCATCTTCTTCTCACCCACTGTCTATACCCACTAATGCCTCTAGAGGGAGGCCCGAAACTACCAGTAGGAGCTGGAGGAACCTCCTCATTGCCTCTTTTTGGGTGAGGAGCAGGGCTGGAGCTGTATACACCACCTCCGGGTGGGCTGGTCTGGTGTGGGGGTCCCACACCCCCTGCTGCCATTCCCCGCTGCCTGGCTGCCAGCCCCTACCTGGGTCAGCGATGGTCACTGTGGTCTGGGGGAATCGGCCGATCTTGGCGCCGTACTTGGGATGGAGGAGGTCGATGGCGAACTGCTTGAGCTGGTAGTTGTGTAGGAGGGTATCTATTTCAGTCAGCTCCAGCAAGGGGACCTGCACCTCCTTTCGGGTCTCCCCGGGCTGAAAGACCAGGTCGCCCTCTGTGAAGATGTAGTCCTGGAGGGAAAGGAAGAGGTGAGTGATTATAGCCCGTAGCATCCATGAGAAGGCTCCCAGAGAGCTACCCCTCATCTCCCAGTGAATCTGCACTTGCGTCCCAGTAGCCACAGCTCAGGGGGCAGCCAGTGCCCTCCGCCTCAAGTACATGCAGCCTCTTGGGTCCCTGAGGCACAGGGAGACGGAGAGGAATTTCTGCCCTTGTGCTAACCTCAAGCCTTGGGTCTCCCCTCTCCCAGCCACATCCCCTTTGAGCCTCATCAACTGCTCTTCTGCAGTCCCAGGGTCAGTTCCTTCCCAGCTGCTCGCTCGTTCCTGCCTGCCGAGGCCAGGAGCATCACCCTTACCCTGCCATTCTTGGCGGTGAGATCCCGGGTCCTGTAGGTGATCTGGGATTTCCCGTTGTCTATGATCTCTCGGAGGACGGGGATCTTGGCCAGCTTATCAAAGCGGCTGTGGGAGTAGGCTGGTTGCAAGAAGGTGATGAGGCTGCTGGCTGGAAGGGGCAGGAGAGAAGGAACGTGTAGAGCAAATACATGAAGAATCACACTACAACCACACACATGTCCTCCCTGAAAAGAGTTCCTATCACCCATGTGTGTGAACAGTGTATGAAATATTGCTCCATGAGCTAGAGACTTTACCACTCCTGACTCATGCTCTCTGCTCAGAACCACCAGATGGGAAGCAGAGGCAAACTGCTGGGGACATTCACCTGCCCCAAGCACTGTATAATTGCAAAGGGGTTTTACTTTACTCCAGCAAGCTATGAACTGGAGCAGCAGAGGCATATGGCCAACCCTGGATCTGCCATGGAATTGGTAGCATCTAAAGTTGTGATAGTCAAATGTTCAGGTCTCTGTCACAAGGGATGATGACCCTCCTTTGGGTGCTTTAAAAGATACTCTAGTTTAGACCCAGGTGACTTGAGATAGGAGTCATCAAGCAAGTGCCTGGTCTGTGATCTGGGGGAACTGAGATACGCAGGCTGTGCCTTCCTGAGAAGCCACGTGAGTCCATCTGGCCACGGGACACTCCAACACAAACGACCTTCATCTTGTGCCACGGTCGCAGCCCTTTACCTTGTTCTTTGATGATGGTGATGTTGACAAGCCTGCGTCCAATCTCTGCAATGCCCGTGGGGACATCAATGGCCTCCACCTGCAGCTGCTTCTCATCATCATCATCCTCCCTGATGAAGAGCGGGACACGGACATCCACCAGTTCCACGGCCTCTTGGAACTCCACCATCCCGTGAGCGTCTGGGGGAAGGGGCAATGGTGAGAGGTGGGAAATGCCCCCCCTGCCCAACCTGGAGGCTGAGCTGGGCTCTGCTCCCTACCTTGGTCTGAGGTCACAGTGTAAAAACCCGGTGAAACCTTCAGGTCATTGAAAGCCTCATGGGAAACGTGCTTTTCCATCACTTTGATGATCTCTGGCTTGGCTGAGCGAGGGGCAGTGAGCACTGTGTCCACAATGGTGTGGTCCTGCCTGTGACCAGTGGGAGGAGAAAGGTGGGGAAGAGCTGAGACCAGGGCTGCTCATCTCACATAGCAGCTGAAGGGGCTAGTGGGTGTGCAGGGCATTTAGTCACCCCACACGTGTGTGTACAAAGCGGGAGAAGCAGCACACGAGAGGGCTGCAAGTTCCTCTTACCTTTTTCCAGAATTGGGCTGTAACCTGGGGGGGTGAAAAACCCAAAAACCAAAAAAAACCAAAAACAACAAATCAGAGTGACTAACGCATTTGGGGAGACAAAGTGCTGCATGAATCACAGCCCTGTGCAGGTCTGAGCTGCAGCAGCTGCCCTGCGGGTGCCAACCCATCCCATGGCCCCATCACATGTTCCCTCCTGCCTGGCTGCTCCCTCCAGCCCTGAGTTTCCCAATGCAATGAGGAACATGCCCACGGGGGAGATCACATCTGGTCAGAGCTGTGGGGAAGGGATAGCACTCCCTGCTCTGCACCGGCATCCCCAGACTCCTCCGTCCTGCACCAGGCACTCATAACTTTGCACAGGGTGGACACTTTTGAAGTCAGTGGGAATTTTGCCACTGAGCACCACGCGACCAGGATTTGTCCCTGTCTGTAGGAGTCTCAGGACCAAAGCCAGATGGAGCTGAGATCACTTGCTTAGTTGGGTGGGCTCTGCTCTGCAGCCCTGGGTGGGTGAAGCACTGCACCAAGCTCGTGCTGGGGATGTCTCACAGACCACAACCCCTCCCGGAATCCCAGATTTCACACAGAAGCCCTCTGGTCCACCCCCTCATCAGCGGGGCCATGGGGGAACCCTCTCCTGCAGGAGGTCTCTCCCCCAGTGACTCACCTGAACTTAGTCTGTTGGAGCTTGTGGCATCCAGGGATGTGCTTGAAAATGTCGTTCAGCTGCAAGGAACAAGAGGGACTGTCACAGCATCTCCCTTGCTGAACAGGGATGTGTTCAGCGAGCAGATGCTGCTTCCAGCAAACACAAGAGCCCTCTGGCCACCCCCAGGTCCTCCCGCTCGCCCTGCCACACCAGGCAGAGACCACCCCACGGTTTCTCCCCAGGACATGGCAAGAAGCTGTGAACTGAAGCCAGACAGGAGCTTCAGACCGCGTGCCCCAAAGCAAACCTGAAATCTCATCAACATAATGCTTTGATAATTCTCACAGTTGTGATCTTAAAACTTTTGCTTTCTTTCAGAAAGCGGGAAAATTGCTTCTTCCTTCCAAGAGCTGTCTGTGTTCGCAGGGAAGGGGCACCCCTTCGCCCCCAGCATTGCAGACACTCCCTCAGTGTTGCTGTCCCCCACTCCCATCCCAAGCCCCCCCCATGCCCGGGCTCGTACATTCTCCTCCACTTCCTTGCGCAGCTGCTCGCACTCCCGGGTGTCCGGCTTCACCAGGTTCTGCGTGAACAGCCGGGTCAGCCTCAGAGACAGCCCATAGGGAACTGGAAAGAGAAATTCCCAAGTCAAACTCCTTCCTTTTTGGTCAGAAGCCAAAAGCTGGAAAGCATGAGGATACCACACATGATGCTCGGTGTCTAGATCTCGTATCACTAGCACCCAAACTCCATAGCACCAGCAGAGAAAACCTTCTGAGAACTGGAGGGCTAACTGAGAAGCTCTGCCAGATGCAGTAAAGGAAACAGTGTCCAGTGGTGGCTCTGGATTGATGAGGCAGCGAAATCAAGACTGGGTCACTGAGCTAATGAGACAGACACATGCAGGGTACATCCACCATGCGGCCAGGCTGTCAGGAGGTCTCCAAGGCTGCCATGTGTCCTGCTGCAGGGCTGGACACAGGAATGTGCTGCTCAGCTTCCCCCAGGATGGAAGCAGATGAAGGAACAACCCTCCTTGCAATTGGGCCTGGAGGTAACACCATGGCTGCTGGAGCTGGGTGCCACCACCAAGGGTTTGTGTCCTTTAAGTCACCCACAGCATCTCCTCTGCATTCCCCAGACGTGGCACTCACTGAGATCTTTGGGGTTGGTGGCGGCGAGGGAAGTGAAGCCCTGCTTGTGAACATTGTTGTTGATCTTCCAGCGGACTGTGTCCCGACCCTTGAGGGACCCGCTGCGGACCATGGGGGTGTCCAGGTGGTCGGAGGACATGAGGCTGTGGCGAAGCATGTAGTGGTCCTCCTTGAAGCCAACAGTGCGACCTGCAGAGCCAGGGGCAGGGTCAGAGTCGGGGAAGACTGAGACAACACCAGCCACCAACTTCCCAACACTGGAGACTTTTTTTCTGGGGAATCTTTAGGGCTTCCACCATGCTAAGGCTGCTGGGATGTCAGGAGTGGAGTGGGGTGGAGAGGGCAAGGGGATGTCCATGAGTGGGGAGAGCACATCCCACCAGCTAGGTATTACAAGGGACAGTGGTCAGTGGAGAGCCAACAGTGGGATTCCCAGTAGGACACACACCAGGGTGTGGGGCAGGGAGGAGCAGTGGAGCAGCAGCTCAAGGACTCCTTGGCTCAGGCTCTCTGCTAGGAGCTTTTACCCTGATCTACTTCCTCAGCTGAGAGGGGAGGAGAAGAGACACTTAACCCAGCATGCCCTACCCAACCCAAGAAGGCAGAGAACCCCACAGACCCCTCTCCCCCTAAGTTCAGAGGGCTGGTACCTCGTGCGCAGCAGGGAAGCAGGGCCAGACAAGCCTAGAAAACAAATGACCAAAGACACAATCACTTTGTGGCCAAGGGCAAAAACCCCCATGTCTCCAGCTGGGAGGATTCACATCAGCAGGGATGAGTGGGCAGTGGATGGACGTGGCTCTGGAAGCTGATTTTAGCCATATATCCCTTCAGTGGGGGAAATCCCACAGCAACTCATGTCAGCAACAGCAGAGGTGCTGGATACCACTGGGACCCAACCCCTGCCAATCTGGCCATGGATTCGGGAAATTTTTAATGGTTTTGGCCTTTACCTGGTCCTCTCCCCACGCTGGGGCAGCCCGCTGAGGCACTCACCTTGCAGCAGGCACAGAACTTCCAACAAAGCAGCAGCAGCAGCCCCAGGAGCAGGATGAGGAAGATGAGCAGCGGGATGAGCCAGAGGAAGCTCCCCGGTGGGCACTCTGCAAGCGACAGCAACGTCACTCCCGGGCATCAGCCCCGCTGCGTGGGGTGTGCAGGCAGGGAGTGGGCAGGCAGAGGGGAAAGGCTGGACCACAGCTCTTTGGGGGATGAAGCAGCCCAGTTAAGTTTGGGAACTTCTCTCTCGGAGCTCACAATGAAAAGTGCTGTTCAGGGAGAACTATCCCACCTCTCTGCTCATATCCAGCCACCCCAAGGGGCTATTCAGCCCCTCGCACCAATCCTTGCTTGTGCCAGCAGTGTAAAGGCACTGATCTCTGAACGTGCTGGTCTCTGAGGATGCTACACTCCCCGCCTTGCAGTTCATATGACAGCCAATGTCACCCACCCCTGTCACGCAGGAAGGTGGGCAGGGAGGTACTGCCTGCAGCTGACCCTGCCCAGGGGCACAGCAAAGGGACAAAGTGGGGATCAGAGGTGCTGTGGAGCAGGTCACTGCTGATCCAGACCCCAGGCCGGACATCCCCTCCTGCCGGGTCCCTGCTCACCTTTTTTCTTCTGCACATGGACGGTGGTGTTGGGGAGGACACTGGGGTCTCCCTCCAGGGTGTAGTGGTATGTGCAATCATCCTCCTCATCCTGGAATGAGCAGTACTCACTGGCCTCCTCTGCAGAGAGAGCAGACACAATTGTAAAGTCATAAGGACCAGGAAAAGCTTGGGAAGCAGCCCCACATGCACACACACATGGGGCAGGGCCCGTAGGAGACACACCACACACGTCTGCACCCAGCTCTGCTTCGCCCAGTACCTTTCTTCAGCTCTTCCACCATCTGGATCTGGAGGTGGCAGGCGCTGCAGTTCCCTTTAGTGTTGCCCGTTCCCCAGGCCTGGCAGCGAACGCAGTCCCGGATGCTCTCGCACACAGCCTGGAAGCCCTGGGCACAGAGACAAGGTGGGACGGTCAGGAGACAGCCCCCGGGGTGCCAGGGGGGACATCGCCTCCGAAAGACAGAGCTGGAGAGGCAATGCTGCCTCTTCACTCTGGTGCCAGGGCAAGCTCAAAAAGAGGAATCACAGAGAACAAGCAGCTAATGAAGGATTTATAAACCCAGGAGCACAGCACAGCCAGCTCCAAAATCTCTTATACCAACAGCTTGCGTTTGGGCAGCCATTAGATCTTTTCCAAGGGTTTTAGGTGGCCTTTCCAAAATACCACCAAGCCAGCTTTCTCCATTCCCACGGTGGGATTAGCCCATGTTTGTCAGTGGGGAAACTGAGGGACCGGATCATTAAATTATTTTTTCTGGTCTTGATGCAAATCAGAACAAGCCAGCAGCCAAGCTTCAAACCTCTGCCCTTCACCAGTGTGCAGATAAACAGAGATAGACATTCAACAGTTGCTGCTGGTGAACTGGAGGGCAAAGAAAGCCCATGGCTGCAAAGCAGCTCCCATACCAGACCTTTCCAGGCCACTGAAGTCAGGACAGGCAAGGCTAACCCCTACTCAGGATTTTGTTCCTGACCAAGATGTGCCTTCATCTCTGGTTTGCTTTCTCTCCCTGGAAGCTCTGCGTGGGAAGGAGAAGTGATAAACCCAGAGGGACCCCAGGCTGAGCCTCACCAGGGAGTAGCTGATTTCACAGGTGGAGCTGGTGTACAGAGAAGCCTTGTCACAGATGCATCTGCCGCATTCGCACCTCCCATGGTTATTGCAAATGCCCTGGGGGGGAAAAGGTGTCAGTCGGTGTCTGAGAGCAATCACGGACATGCAGCAGTGCTGGGAGTCAGCAAGGTGCCAGCTCCCAGCGGTCCTGAGCTTCGGGAACCGGGGCAGTTTGCTACAGCCCTGCCTGCTCCGGCCGTCCCTCAGGCAGGCAGGGCAGGACATACCCCTTGGCTGTCGATGCAGGTGTCGTTGCTGGTGGGACACTCGCAGCCCGGACCCTCCCAGCCGCTCTCACACACGCACGCGCCCTTGGAGCAGCGACCGCGATCTGCGACGCGAGAGGAGGAATTACCCAGGGCCCGGTGCTGTGCCGCTCCCCTGGCCCTGTCTGCAGCTCTCCTGCTTTTTTTTTTGGGGGTGCTAAGAGACTGCAGGTATTCCACAGCATCTTCCCTGCACATTTGCAAGCACAGACACCCCACAGCCCATCGCTGGTCACTCAACCCCCTCGTACCATTGCCACCAGCCCAGGGACACCCTCTCTGTGCCACCAGGACAGAGCAGAGCACAGCTCACCCCACAACTGGGGGATACCGGGGACGGTGGGGCTGCTCTCACCGTTGCAGAGGAAGCCGGAGGTGCGCGGGCACTGCAGGATGTCGTACTGGCAGAACGCCCCGTCGAAGCGCTGCGTCAGCTCCTCGGGGTAGCACTGGCACTTCCCGCAGAGGCACTCGCCCCGGCCCGAGCACGGCTCCACATCCCCGGGGCGAATGCAGGCTTCGTTGTTGGGGGACGACGCCGGCGAGCAGTCACACGTGTCCCCTCGCCTGGTGGGAAGGAGATGGTGCTGAGAGAGGCAGGAGTAGAGCAAAGGACAGCAGGGTCCTGGCAGGATGTCCAGGGCACAAGTGTGTGTCACTGGGGGTCACCAGACCCAGCAGGAACCCTGGGAGGGGTACGGAGCTGGACCAAGTCCTTACCAGCCTGGGTGGCAGATGCACTGTCCACAAACAAAGTCCCCACGGGAGCTGCACTTGGGTGAATTAAATTCTTGTTGCTGTAAGAGAAGTGAGAAGAGCCATTGCTGAATGGGCTCAGCTGCCTCCAAGACCATTTCAGGAATCAGAAAGGCAGACCTAGGGGGAAAGTTTTGCCCACAAGACTGAGCTCTGCCATGGTACGTGCCCAACTCGGTACAGGCAGTGATGAAGATCTCCTCGACCAGGCTGAGCCTCCACTGAGCAACAGGGAGGGGTTAAGTGGGACCCAAAGTGCTAGCCAACACGTTCCCATCCCAGGCTGGCCAGGAGGAGGACACCTCTCTGCAACAAGCACCCCCATGTACCTGCTCACAAGGACACACATCACAGATGACAGAGGCTGTGACTTTGAGGCTGTCGCTCAGGGACGTGGGTTTCACGTGGATAACTCCCTGCCGGTCTTTTTCCGGGAGGCTGCAGACGTGCTGCCCACCAATGTACTCAAGTGCTTTCAGGCGCACGTTGAACTTGCCCTGGAAGGAAGGGACATGGCGCAGGGCTGGGCCAGCTCTGCTGGACCACAGCTCAGCCCAACCGACCCTGGGGGAAGGAAAGAGGGATGCAGTGAAGGGCTCAGCCCCTCACACACACCTTCCCTCCGGGGCCACCCAAGGACTTACCACTTCCCCACGGGTGATGTGGAAGGAGCCAGATTCTGTCTTTTCATACATCAAAGAGGTGAACTCTGTCTTCATGGCTTTGGGGACGAAGTCAGCCCGGATGTCCATCTTTGAGTGGATGCGCTGGGTGACAGAAGATAACCACAACACTGATTTTCAGCAGTACACCTGCGACCACCCCATGGCCTGCCCCAGAGCGGCTACCTCCTGCCTGCTCTCCTGGGCAGGAGGTGCCCACCCTCTGCCTTCCCCGGGAGCAAGAACGAAACCCCAGAGAGCTGTGTTACCTCAAAGGCTGTGCGGAGCAGCTCCACGATGTTGGAAGAGTCCTCCTGGAGCACCCCAATCTCAGAGATAGGGAAATATTTGTGCAGCTTCTGCAGAGAGAAAGGAGCCCCCTGAGCCAAGGCCTTGAGAAACCTCCTCTAGCACTGAAGTGGGCTCTGCTTTGAGCAAGGCTTGGACCAGAGACCTCCAAAGGTCCCTTCCAACCTAAATTACTCTCCAGCTCTGTGTTCCTACTGCTTTACAAGAAACAGATGCCAACACTGAGATACCTCTAGGACCCCAAATTCCTGCACCCAATAATACACCCTGAGACCTCCCATGACCCAGAGCAGCCCCCCAACACACTGTGGTACCCTTCAAAAGTGTCGGGGCATTGGTTTAACACTTGGGGACCAGAGGTGGGAGAACATTTTTTCCTCACATCCAAGTTGCAGGCAGAGGAGCACTGGTCCTGGAGGCAAGGTAAGCCCACATGGCCACCACCACTGTGGTCTCCTCACCTCGTAGTAGCTGTAGGAGTGATTGGTGACAGCAAAGATGGGGATGATGTTGTGCTGGCCCAACAGGCGCACCAGGGTGGGCACCGAAGGATAGTCCTGCTTGGTGTCATACACGTAGGTGCCATAGGTGTCTAGGTGGCACTGCTCATCATTTCTCGCCAGGATCCCTGCCAGGACGTTGGTACCATCAGCTTCATAGTGAAAGGCAGATTCGGTGGAAAACACAAGCAGGTGAGTGCTGTCCTTCCTCCAGCCGATCTTATCCTACAGCCGTGGAGGAGGAGAAGAAACCTTTATGTCTGTGCCCCCCAGACCACTGCACAGCACTTGCAGCCGTTGGCAGGCCAGCACTGTCAGGAGTTGGAAAACCAAAAGGACAAGGCACCACCTCAACTCGGCAGCAAACACAACCAGCTATGTGGCCCTGGGAACCCACACCAGCAGGTCTCCTCCTCCCATCTGCCCCCCCACTGCATAGGATGTCTCCCAGCAGCTCAGTGCCAGGCACATACAGGTACAGGGAGCAAGCACACACTTTTCTGGATGTGTTTGGAGCTATGATCACCCCTCAGCCAAATGGCCAAGCCCAAGAGGGCTGTTTTCCAGGGAACAGTTTCACCACTGCAGGTACAGAGGGACAGGGCAAAGAGCCCATGCAGGGTGCCCAGCACGCAGCTCCTGTGCTGGGGATCAAACACCAGAGATACACACACAGATGATCTAAGACCTAGGAAATATTGGAAATGCAGACCAATTCAGCACCAGGAGCATGTGGCTGGGAGGGCAGGGACTGACTATAGCTGAATGTATAACCTGGGTTCCCTGGCTGTGCCGTCAGCTGCCCAGCATGCTGCTCTTTTGCTCATCACGCAGGATCAGGAAGATCCACTCATTAAGAACTGAGCCTTGCCAGCTCCTGCAACCCTGACCACCATCACCTTGCAAACAGCTGTCTGCAAGATGGCATCAAAGCCACCCTCAGGGGCATCCAGGTTGCCGGAGATGCGCTCTTTCCTGAGCTTCTGGCTGAAGTGGGTGATGTTGTCGGTCAGGCGGATGACATTCTTGAAGGAGAAGGGGGAGTCCGCGTTGTTCCAGGGCTCACGCAGCCTAGGAGAGAAGGGAAGAGCAGAGTTTTTGTAGGGGCAGGAGCAAAGGGGTGCCTGGGTGCAAGGAGGGAAAGTGTGGGGAAAGCAGCCAGGGGCTGGGGAGTTGCTCAAGAGAAGACATGATGTGGAGTTGGCAAGCCATTGGCACTGAGAGGGGGGGTAGGAGTGGTAGAAGGGAGGAGGGCAGAGATGGAGGAGAAAAGACATGCAATCTGTCACGTCAGAGCAGGGAAGGTATGTAAAGCAGAGGAGGACACTGCTGGCATTGGCACGGTGCTACAGCAAGCCCTGAGCACAGGGTGGGGAGGCCAGGGGAGAGAGGTGGATGGAGGCTCTCACACCACAGACAGCAAAGATCAGGAAAGCCATGGAGAAACAGAAGGTGCCTGCCCTCCCCTCTGCTCCCATCCTGGAGACCCACTGGTCCCCGTGGGGGGGACCCTGAGACCCTCACTCACTTCTCAGGTCTCATGTCTGTCTGAGGGGATGAGACTTTGTCCACAAACTTGCCGAATCCAATGGTGTAATTGGAGGTCAGGGCTTGCAGGAACTCCGCTGGGAGGAGACGAAGGGAGGGAGGAGACACGTGAATAAAGAGATGCCTGTGAAGTCGCTGCCCTAGAGAAATACTTTCCAGGGCATCTTCTCTGCTGGTCAGGTCTTCGCTAAGGCTCCCAAACTGTCAGCTTTTAAGCTCTTTAGGCTTAGAGCTTGGGGTTTATTTAGGATAGAAACCTATACCACCTTTGGCAGCCCCTTTCTAAGACTGGAATTTCTGCAATGGCGCAGACCACACCTATAGGTTCAAGATGCCAAAGCCACTGCACACTTAACTCTGCAGGGCACCAATCCCCATGCTGGGCTGAAAGGAGAGAGCACACATAATGATCCCTGCAGGGCCAGGAGAGCCATCCCCCCACAAAGCCGTGATTATAAGAAACTCTAATTAAAGCAGGTGCCTCTCAGCCCTTTGCCAGTTACATCGCTTTCTCTGATCCTGGCAGAGAACTCACAGCAGCGGGCAGGAGTGACCTGCCTGCCTTCATCAGCACAGGAGCTGGTTCCCCTCTTCTCCCAGCTCTGGTCTCACCTAGGTTTTGGCCCATGTTTTTGAGGTTGTCCAGATCATCAGACATAGAGTAAGAGAAGTCCATGAGGATGTAGAGATCCAAAGGGCTCTCCAAGGGCTGGAAGACATCCATGTTGAAGCTCATCTCCTCCCCAGCTCGCAGCCGCATGAACATGCCCTGGGGGGACACCTGGGTCCTCTGCAGGGATGTGTTGATACTGAAATTCTGTGAAGAAAGAGTGATGTGAAGGGGATGAACTCCATTTCCTGGGATGGGCTCCATCTCCTGCGCAGATGCAATGAGGAGGTGGCAAGGAGCAGGGAGACACGTGGGAAGTGGAAAGGCAGGGGTGATCACACTCCCTTCGCTCGTGTACAGCCATGGACAGAGGCAGCCTCCCCCATGTCCACACGTGCCCAGCTGGGCGCCTCCTCCAGACCTTGGCATTTTGCTTACATCTGTTTTGCCTGCAGAGCCACCCCAGCCCTAAGTGACCAGGACTGGTTGCTAACTGGTTCATCAGCTAGTGAAGGCAGAGCGTTGTTTTTGAGTACACCCTACGTAGTAAGAGGTCTGGCCTTTGTATTTTTTCTGCTGAAGACTCTCGAGGAGGATGAAGGACGTGAAGGACACTGGGCATGGTGGGACTCCTCAGAAGCAGCCGAGCAAGGGCTGTCTCCCCAGCACCCACCTTCTGGGTCCGCATCTCGCCCCTGGTGTACACGACGCTGGCCTCCCCGCAGCCGTACCGCAGCAAGTTCTCCCGCAAGTCGCAGCGAGACTCTTCAAAGCTCTGCCAAGGGGGCAAGAACAACATTATAACCACAGAAAGCAGCAAATCCTCCATGCAAAGCAGGAGGGCACTTGTCAGAAGTCAGGGTCCTCTGCTGAGACCATTAGCAAGAGTTTGGAAACAGGAGCGATGAGGATGAGTCTCACACAGAAAGGCTGATGGTCCCCCAGCAGCAAAGAAATGCAACCACCAGTGAGTTACTGGGCTGTCTAGGATAAGATCCTCCCTCCATGCCCTGCACACACCATTTCAGATCTGGCACACTGGAATTTTCTGATAAACCCCTGTATTCCTGCAAGCGTGCCCCAGGACTCCTCTTCCTCCCCACTTGTCCGCACCAAAGGAAACTCATGTTTCAGTGCTTCCCACCCAGCCCAGTGCTTCACAGAGAGAAGCTGGAGCTGGAAAGCTGACCCTGCTCTCAGGTCCCTCTCCCAGCTTTCACTGGGGGTGGTGGGATCCCTCCATCGGCAGGGTGGGAAGTGGGGCCCTGGGCTCCCCTGCAAGGTCTCACCTCGTCAGTGCAGAAGGAGCAGTCCTTATCCACTCGGATGCACTCAGTGCAGCTCTTCGCCCGGGACAGCACACAGTGGTTATCTACCAGGAAAGATCAGGACATCAGGAATAGAAAAAAAAAAGTGAGCTGTGGGAGGGCATGAAAAAGGCTGATCCCGTTCCTGGGGGGAAATGGTGGAAGCTTTGCCTGGGTGGTTAGTAGAAGCTGGCTACAAGACAGCAGTAGGGAAGCAAGAGAGGGGCCCCAAATGTTGGGGAGATAGAAAACAGGAGGAAAGACACACAACAGGACTTATCTGCATGAGGACTGGTGTTTCTGGAGCCCAGGAGGGGTGTGCACAGTCCCCACGGCACAGCACCAAGGGGAGACTGCAGACAGACCTACCGCGGCTGCACTCACTTTTGTTCCTTTGGCAGAGGCCGGTGGCACAGAGCAGGGACAGGAGGAGCAGCCCAGCACGCACCCGTGGCAGCACATCCATCCTCTTCCTCCTGAAACACACGGATCGCTACATTGTGGAGAGCTGAGAGATGAAAACAGCCCCGGAGGCGATGGGGGCAGCTCCTGCGGGGCCCGTGCCCAGCCCCGGCGGGGTGGGACAGCGCTGCCCGCCCAGGGGAAGCTGATGCCTGGAATCAATCTCTGATCTCAGCAGGGCAGTGCACAAAAGCCAAACCAAGAGTAGCTCGTCCTCTGCTCCAGCATCTCTGAAAGGCTCAAAGGCCCCGGCGATACCAGGGCAGGGCAGCTGCCACGCCACAGCACCCCTGTGCCACAGAGTTGGGGTGCCCAGCTTGCTGGGTCCCCCGAGGCAGCGGGGTGGGTGCAGGCAGGCAGAGCCGGGGCTGCTCCCGGTCGGAGCCCAGCACCATCTGCACGTGCGAGCACCGACCAGGTCAAGACCTTGCTTTTCCTGGCAGGTTAAGGAAAAAAGAGAGGACGAAAACAAAGCGACTGTCTGCATCTCTCCCCAAAAACAAAACAGACCCCTCCCTTCAGCTATTTCCTATCACACTAAGAGTTTCCAGGATGGTCGAACCAACAATAAATAGAGGGTGAGGCCTTGGGAAATGCCAGACTTGGAGCTGTTGAATTAATCCACGATCTTGAGCACTGGGCAGTTGCCCTTTGTCCTGTCCAGGGCAGCAGGACCCCTCACGTGGATCCAGAGGCCAAATCCTAAACAGCGTGAACCATTCTCCCTGCACCCACATGTGACTCAGAAAACTCAGTGCCATCCAGAAGTCAGCATTTGGATGTGGTAAACAAAAGGGACAAAGCTGGAACTTGAGCTCTGTGGCTGCTGTGCCGGAAGACAGCTCTGACTCTGGCACCCAGCAGGGCGAGTGAGAGCAGTCAAGGCAAAAGATTTGGTATAAAGATAATTTTAAAGCACCTCTTTTCTGAAAGATGAAAGTGTGAAATAAAAGATGCAAACAGATTACCTTGTGGCTTCTTGCTGTGTAAGCCCTGATTCCAAAAAAATTAGAAGAATGTGAAAACCACTTATAACAGGGAAGGAAAATGGGAATAGTTGTGTGCAGTGAAGATGTCCAAGTTCCCAGGGGGACATCCAGCACACTTGGTGATTTAACTGCTAATGGCCTGACCTGGGGCCCAGGGAAACCCCTGGGACAACCCGCTCTAGTATCAAAAACATTGGATCACACCGTATTCTGCATCAGCCACTGGAGCCAATGGAAATACATTGACCGCATGAAGCTGAGCACTTGCAGAAAGCATTGCAGCCCAGGACTCAAATCAACATAGCACTGACCCCAGGAGACATCTGCCTTGGTGTTCACACTTTGTTCTTTGTGATGGTCACTGGACACTCAGGTAACATATGACAAGATGTTGGTACCTCATTTATCTTGTCAGCTGTGCTCAGAGGGATTTATCACCCAGTAATTAATCCCCCGTAGCTGAAATGTGAAAAATACAGAAACCTCGAGGCAGCATCTCTGTGCGGGACACCTAGGGAAGCTCTGTTATTTGTCAGGACCTGGTAGCCAACGTGATGTTTTTCTTATGGGTAAAAGTTACCAGCTGACCAAGGAAATCCCTGTATTTTCCTCCTGTGGCCCCTGAGCACAGGTTACTGCAACACCAACTGTCCCCAGCTCAGGCTCTTGGGAGGTTCGGCGTGGGGGGGTCCATGTGGCTGGCTCTGAGGCTGGCAGTTACCCCTGGACACGCCCGTGACCTCCTTCAGCAAAAATCCTCACGCCACCAGTCGCTGGCAAACGCTGTGTTCCTCACCACTGAGATGGGAAGGTTTTCAAGTCAGGAAAATCCCTTTTTCCCTTGCTCCGCCCCAGTGAGCCATGCCAGCCGCAGCGACGGGTGCTACAGAGATGTGGGGAGATGCCAATTAGAGGCGAGATGAAAGGATAGGGAAGTCCTTTGAGCCCATCAAGGGAAAACACAGCGAAAACATCCCCCAAGCACTTGGCAAATCCCATCTTCCATCACAGCAAAGGCCACGAGGAAAAGATTGAGTACAGGGGACCGGAATGCTCAGCTCACACACCCATCTTCCAAGGTAGCCTCAAAGCACAGACCTAATTCATCCTCCTTTAATCACAAGTCAAGAAAGAGTCACCAAGGGATGGACTGACACACCCTGGGCCTTGGACACATAAACGGCTGTCACGTCTTTTGAAGTGTTGAGATAAAAGGCCATAAAACTCAGCTCAGTATTAACATCCTGTTGCCCTGTGAGCTGCCAACCTCCAAGGATTTAGCTGGGCAGTTGCCGGCGGGCAGGGCGTTGGTGGCACAGAACATCGCCGCTGCCACTCGGTGCTGCCAGCTGCAGGAATGCAGCCTGTGATATTTGTGCAAACTGCCATCCCTCGATTTCAAAAGTGCCCTCTGGAAGGGAAAACGCCACTTTCACTTTGGAAAAGCTGCAGGGACCCGGTTGGATTTTCATGATGATGACAACAACAACATAAAAAGCTGTTCAGTCATGCAAAACTAAGGAATGAAGCGGAGCAGCTCCTGGCTGCACACAAACATCCTACTCCACTCCAGACCATCACTCCAGCATTTCTTCTCGGTCTCCTCCTGCTCCCCAGACTTTGCCTGCACCTCAGCACCACTGACAAACCTGATCCAGAAAGACCCCAGGAACCCCCAAGCTTGGAAAAGCTGGGGCTCAGTACCTCATTCCCCCAAAATGGGATGCTCCAGAGAAACCACTGGAATAATGAGATGGGGGACAGGGTTGGAGTAACAGAGCTTCATCACCCTGTCCAATCCCATCCCTACCCCATCCCCACCCCAGCAGCTCCATGCTGGGAGGGACAAGGTTGAAGCTGGGCATAGCCACAGGGTGGAGAGGGGAGAAGGACCAAGGAGCAGGTTATGATGAGCCACAAGCCCATGGTGGGAGCCTGGTCCCAGCTGCCACACAGGGGACACCCATCAGGCTCAGGACACGGGAAAAGGAAAGCCAGGGAGATGCTTGAGCTCCCTGGAGTGGCCTTTCCTCCCTCCTGTGGGCATCGCCCTTTCTGTGCCTGCAGACCCCCCGTCCCGCTGAGGGGTTCACTGGGGCTGTGCAGGGGACTGACAGCCCAGTAGACGGTGAGGCATGTGGAGGAGTATCTGCTTGCCCATGTGTGCTGAGGACCACAGTGCTTGCAGCGTGCTGGGCAGGCAGGAGGTGCTGGTCACCGTGACCAGCTCAGCACGGGGCTGGGGGTCCTGAGGGAGAGCTAACAGCGATGGAAGCAAAGCAGAAAGGCAGCTGGGTGCTCCCCCAGGGACCCCGATCCCGCTCCCTCCTGGGCAGCACAGTGACAGCCACGGCAGCTCACGCAGGCTCAGTTCTCCTGGGGCAGGGCTGTGGGTGCGTGGATCAGGGCCACCACGCACGATCTCTCCTTCCCTGGGGTGCTCCCTCCGTGGCACACGCAGCAATGCAGAGCTGCCAGAGAACACGCTCTGAAACTTGGAAATTACCAAGCCAGACCCCTAGAAAACTATAAAAAAAACTTGACCCACAAATCAAAGCATCACTTAAACATGAAATAATGTTTGTCTCTGATTTTGTTTGTCTTCCCTCTCTGTTCCCCCTCCTTCCCCAGGTGTGCCTCTGCAACTGGGAGGCTCCATGTGAGTGTCACCATTTGTCCTTTCCAGCAAGAAAGGGAATCTCAACTCCCAGGTCTAGCTCCAGACTCCAGACACGGCCCTCAGCATCCTCCAGCAAGGGATAAAACACAGCAGGACCCAGCCCGGGGACCCAAACAGATCTGCCGCAGCCAGGGAGTGGCTGACACCACCCTGTGCCGGCAAAGGGCCCATGGCTGCAGCACCATCTCCTCCCTCTGACCCCCAGGTTTGGGCAGGGGAAAACCCCGAGGGACAGGCAGGAAGTTTGGGACCCTGCCCGTGGGGCTGCCCAAATGCCAGCACAGCCCCAGGACCCTCCTGTCCCCCCCATGCCTCCCCACGTGCTGCTCCCAGCAATTTCTCTGCTCCTTTAGCCCCATAGGACACTTTTCTTCTCTCTCCCCTCCATGGGTGCTCCTCATCCCCCTTTTCCCCCACCTAACCCGTGCCTGTCAGCTCCCTCACACCAATCCTTCTGTCCATTTCCCTATTTCCCATCCATTTCAGATCCACCAGCTTGCAAATACCCCAACGCCTGCAGTTCGGCAAAGCCCACCCTGAACCCCCACTCTCCTGGGGCCTTTTCCTCCAAGGACACCCCCTCCCCTCGCAGGGGCTTGCAGGCAGCCACCCATTCTGCAAAACAACCTCCATGGGTTCAGCGGGTTGGAGACACCCGCAGCCTGGCCGACCTTGTGCAGTTTCACCCGTGAAAACTTTCCTTGGGTGCCAGCTCCAAGGCACAACCGCCTTTTCCCCTGCAAGCGGGAGGAACGGAGAGGGCAACCTTTGAAACCTGCAACAAATGCTCCCCAAAGGGCTCTGCTCTGCCTTAGCACACTGTGGTACCCCCGCTTCCACTTCACAGCCCCCCACCCAAATACCTTCAGAGACAAAAAAACCCACCCTGTGCAGCCCTGCAAAGCCCTGCTCAGTCACGAGTGTTGCCCTTCCCAGCCGGTCGAGAGGCACAAGACGGTGTCCGACAGCCAAAACCAGAGGAAAAAGGGGGAACAAGCAGGCAGGGAGCTGAGCCTCCTCACTCCATGCCCTGCCTACCCTCTCATGCAAGGAGCCCCGCACCTTATTTCACCCCCAGGTTAATCAACACAGCAAAATTAAAGCAAGCTGGACGCTAAAGAGCACAGATGAATTAATTCCACAAACCTCATTAGCGCTGGGTCTGACTCAGTGTCCAAAGCCTCTGCTGCAGCCCGAATAACAGGCACCCACACACCAAGCCAAGAAATTCTTTCGAAGGCAGAGGGGGAACGCGTTGCTTCGCTGCTGCGACTTGATTTCCAGCTTTGGCCTTTTCTTTCTTCTTTTTTTTTTTTTTTTTTCCTCCCTCCTCTCTATTTTCTGTCCCTTTTCTCTTTCCGGTTAAACGTCAACTTCCAGTCCGGCGGGGAGGGCAGGCAGCCCGTAATCCCACATACCTCCCTGCTGATTTCTGCACCCTCCAGTCAAATATCAACTTTGTTCTCACTCCCCTCGCTGTCCCGGAGCTGCCGCCTCTCCCTCCCGGGGGGGGCTGGCAGGGAGGAAAGGTGGGAACCGCGATAAGTGAGATTGGATCCCAGGTGAGGACAAGCTTTATCCCGGCAGGGGAGGGAGGAGGGGGTGCCTGTGACTCAGGGGTTGGCATTCCTCCCTCGCACACCTGGACGGGCAGGCACAGCCCGCGCAGCCGCCCCAAACCCTCCCTCTGCACAAGCACCGTCCCCTGGGAAAAGGTGGGAAGGTGCCCGCCGTGCCGAGGGTGCAGAGGGGGCTGCGGGCAGCATTGCCTGCCTGGCTTTGCCCATTTGCTTGGGGCAGAGCCAAGGGTGCTCTCCAGCCTCCCTCGCCAGGGGTTTCTCCCCCAAATTTTCCATTGGCAGGAGCGGGGGGTGTCACCCTCAGTGCCCAGGTAGCTCGTAGCTGAAATATCAGGTAAGTTCCTGCCGCAAAAACCGCCCAGCTGCCGAGCCCAGCCTTGGTACCTTGCTCACAAAGAGGACAGATTTGCATCCTGCTTTATCCAGGGCACGAGCATGACAGCCCACTCCTCATCTGCAGTTGATCCAGCTCATCAGTACAACCCCTTGTGAATGATACTCATCCACATCTGCTCCTAATGCACCCTACCATGGTCCAAGGGTGCAAGGAGCAGCAATCCCACCACCACATCCAGCCTTTCTGCTGGGCTGGATCCAAAAGCCCTTCCCCAGTCAGAGGAGGGTTTGGAGTTCGGGTGAGGTTATTTTTTTTTGCCCCACAGCAGCCTTTTGTTTTAGAGTCTGGGGTCTGTTATGGCTCAGAGCCGGTCGCATCCCCCATGGTGCAGACTGTACACATACCGGAGCAGATGCGATGGCAGTGGTTTCATTTTAGATCTCCAATAAATCTTCACAAGGAAAACTACATCCACTCAGCTTCAACACAAGCAACAGCAACAGCCAGATGAAAAAGTTGCATATTTCCTGCCTGTCTTGGAGATTAAAAATACGAGCAGGGCAATTTTGGCCTCTTCATTATCAATATAACATCACAGAGGCTGCTGATCAACTCCCTAGTGATAGTGACTGAGCACTGATTCAAATGAAAGTGAGGAGCAGGAATCCTTTCACTACAAGAAATAGGAAGCTCAAGTGAATATGTATAAACTGATTAAGCCCCAGGAAAAAGGAGGATGTGCTCGTGCCATTAAAAGCTGCAGCAAATGGGAAACAGGCAGGGCGCAGCTGAAGATGGCCGAGGCAGCTTAAGTCTGGTATTTCCTAGTTTCTGAATGCTTGACTTGGCAACCTCAGCATTACCCTGGCCCTTTTGGAGATGCAATTTCCTATATTTAAACAAAACCTCTGAAAATGAAAGGGGGTTGTTGCTGGGTTGTTTTAAACTGCAACAGACCTTCACTACAACTGTGAGCTGGGATGCAAGGCTCTAATGCTCAAGCTACAGCCGTGGCTGCTGGCGAGGAGCAGATCATTACCACTGAGGGGCTGAATGCAAAGGGTCCCACACTGCCCCTGGGAGCTACAGAGGCAGCAGATGTTGTAGAACATTGGAGACAAAGGAAAGCTGGGCTTCAGTTCCCAAGACTGGAGTGGAGTGTGTGCTGGTGCTTGCAGACATTGCTTCTCCCCTCCCCTGGTCCTGTCCACCAGCAGCACCCAGCTCACTTCCCACCACCACTCTCCTCTGTTACCACTGGGGTAAGTGATGCTGCCAGGCACTAGAGTTAAAAAAGACAATTTAGGCTACAAGAAAGAAACGTATTACTAAAAAAAAAAAAATTTAGTTATAAATTCCCCAATAGCATCCCTGGAGCCAACCAGATAAGCTTGGGAGCAGCCAGTTTCCACCACAATACTTGGTGTCCTTTGTTTCTGGATGTCCTCCTTTCTCCACCTGGGATGGAGGATGTTTATGTTGCCTCCTGTAAAGTATCTCTGGTTTCACCTACAGACATTCTGACAGCCCCAGGGCTGCTCGGCACCGTTTTCCTCCCCTTCATCCCAGCAGCCTGGAGCAGCAAGGCAGGACCAGCTCTGCTCAGCATCTCCAGCTGTGAGAAGCAGCCTGGTAACTCACCCTGGGTGCTGCCAGAAGAGCCCAAGATATTAATTTTGCACCTTTCTTTGAGACGTGTCCCCCCAGCCCCTAACAGATTCCTGAGCACATGGAGCATGAATTTTCCCAGAGATTTGTAACTGGGTTGCATTCAAGTAGACACCTGCAGGGCTGATAAAAGGCACTTTTCTAGTATCAAGACAACTCCAACACCAAATTTTAAGGCAACAAATCAGAGAGAAATTAGAAATTCTCAGTAAATGGTCATAAGAATTTAACCAGTTTTCACTTCATCTCACCTTTAAAAAAAAATATTGCTGTTATATATGTTGCCTTTCAGGCAATTTCTTCAAGGGAAGAATACCTGGTAAACTCAAGTTTTGCCTTGGTTCAATACCTTGCACTCACTGCCTGCTGGATTAGGCTTTTGCCACACAGATTTGCTGTTTTAAACAACAGAGAACAGGGACTTCAGAGAGGAAGGATCAGCAGATTTCGCTGCAGTTGGCTCTACCAAAGCTCATAGCCACATACATGGTGGAACTCACATTTATAAATCAGTGATTTTCTGTTGTGGAAATGTGGCTTAGAAATTTTTGCCCTAGGAGTGAAAACGGGGCATTTTATAGATCACACTGTATTATTGCTCTCTCTGCTGAGAATACCTGTCTGAGTGCCAATTACTGGTAATTAAAAGTGATTTTAGTGTTATTTCTTTTATTTCTTTTTTTTAATACCACATACAGAAGCTTTCTTCTTTCTGTCCTGCTACTGCAGTGTGCCCAGAGAGGGCTCTGGGGCTTTTTCTAGGTCTCTGTTGAGTGGTTACAGCCAAGGTCCTGCTGCCAGAGCACATTCATTCCCTTTCTGAATTCTGTAACAACATACACTACTAGAAGAAAAAAAAAAAAAAAACAAACAAAAAAACAGACTATCCCATAGCTGCACTGTACCTTATATTGACAACATCCTGCTATCTGGTGTAAATTTAAGGAATGCTTAATAATGTCTTAGTAATGTACATTAATGTGCACAATTTATTGCTCTAAATTCTGCTTAATATGATTACCTAGGTAATTAAAAGTGCAAGATTAAATCCTCCCATATTCTCTTCCTCAGCATTTCCCCTAAGATAGCATTAACTATACATGTCCCTTGGTCTGCAATGGATGTTCCTTGTCGTTAACACATACCTAAAGGGAAATCTCTTTGCTGAACATCACTGATGTACGTTTGCCTCCAGGATGGACTGGCAGCAAGAGGTAAGTGGGCCACCAAAACAACACAAGAGGAAAATGTCGATAAAGGATCCAGGATAAAACTTCAGCCTACGACAGTCCTAACATCCATCCAGGGAAAACAGGACCTTCCAGGATTACATTAGCATCTTACCCAGCTGCCAAAGGGCTGAAAGCACACTGATGTTATGTTTGAAAGATCTAGCAAGATAGCCCACCTTTCCTCCCAGTTTGTGTTGGCTGGCCCCATACAAGACATTCAATAGTGTGGGTGAGAGTGTCGTGAGGAGCCAGCCAACACAAACAGGGAGAAAAAGTGGACTGTCACTTTCTGTCATGCTCTCCAAGCACTACAAGAGGCTACACAAATAGGAGAGAGGTTAAAAGTACCAGTAACTTCACCTTTTATCACTGCACCAAAAGGCAGGATTGTTTTCTTCCTAATGCTGGTTCGTACAAACATGGTAGAGGACAGACAGACAGACGCCTTCTACGTGAAAAGGCAAACCCTTCTCTTGTGAAATCCTGGTGCTCTGCTGTTTACTGGCAACCAAAAGCACAAGCCCAGCCCCAGCCAAAGACAAGTTCCAGATAAACAAAGACTAAATATTGGAAGTCATTGGTGTCCATGGTTCTCGCTTAGAACAAAAGGAAGGAAGTTAAATATAAACAATCAGAGGAACAGCAGCGCATGGCAAGGCTTGGAGATGGAAAACTGCTCTGTAAGAGCAATGCATGAATATGCTGGTATAAATGTTTCCGAAAAGGAAACCAGGAGATTTGTGGTGGAACCTCATTGCCCCTGCATGGGTCTTGCACCTCAACAACAATTTATTTATTTATGCTGAAGAGCATCTCTCTCTCTCCGGAGGTAGCAGCTCTGGGCTTTCCTGGGTTCACACCATTTAACAGGCGGGAGCAGCCCATACCCTTTGATAACTTTCCGGGCACATTGCAAAGATGACCTGTTTGAAGGGCTTCACAGAAGTTACAACTTCTTCTCCCCTGCCATGATGAAGAGCTGGAAAGGAGCTGCTGCAGGTGTGGGCTGGGCAGACTTTGGCTGAAGCAATCACCTTCACGCTGCTAGAGCTGACTGTGTCATCAGCAAAGCCTTGGCACAGCCCAAAGCCTTGGCAACGAAGACTTTTTTTTTTTTTTTTGTCTCAGTACATAACTCTCATAAAACAGACAGTACAGCAGCAATCCAACTAAAACATAGCTTCAGGTGCTCCCATTTTACAGTTTGAGGTGGGGCTGGCAAGGGCTGCCCCTCCCCACCTGCTCCTTCAGTTAGGCAGCACCCAGTGAGACATAAAATAAAAAGCAAGTCCTGAACACACAAAATCCCTTCCCACAGCAGCATCAAAGGCAGGCAGATCTCTAAATCACAACAAGCAAATAGGAAAGAAAATCAACACCTCAGGGCATGGAGTTGGGAAAAGAGACTTCAGAAGGGAAGGCAAGAGGAGAACCAACTCTGCCAAGGATGACTTCATTATGGCAGCTCTCCTCCCTCCACTGAGTAGCTCAGTGTGGCAGACACTCACAGACTCCAACGTGGAGTTTCAGTTAAAACAAGCCTACTCAAGCTAGGAGACACTTAAGCTTAAAAAGATGGTAAGCGGAGAGAAACCCCATGGTTTTCAAGGAGCATAAACCTGTAATTCTCAGACTAAGGAATAATGAAATGGGACTGGTTTTATTCTCCTGGGTACAGTTGGTCTCCCCTTGGGAGGAGAGGTAAGAATGAGTATCTACAGCTTTTAGGAGTCATAAGTGCAGCCTGAGCAATCACTACTGCAGCAGCAGCATAAAGAACCTTTTAGCTGTGTAAGCTGTGAGTTTGCATTAGTGCAGCTTGG